CATGAAATTTTGATAGTATCCCTATGTCATCATTTGAACTTAGTATGTAAGTTGTACATGTTTTATTCCTAAAAGCTTCAAATTCCTCATTATAAGGGACTAGAACATGTTATTGTTACCTATAGAGAGACTGATTTTAAAATTTTCCGATACACATTTTACAATCAGCTCAGTAATATGTTGACGGTACGACCGTTGGGGCGAGCGTAGAGCTTTGTGCATTACTGGATATTCACTTTTAACTAAGATCAGCCTCTCAATGTAGGTCGCGGGTTTACTGCATAAAAAATCATACGAGAAAACATACCCTCAAAATTTGATACATGTATAATGTTCCTGAGAATTTGCAGCATACACATGTATTATCTGTAATTTTTAGGAAATTTGCCTACGTAGTTTTAATGCAATATTACTGTAAACGCAGTATAGTTTTTGGTACTATTTTTACGTTTTTCTATTGGAATGTATATAAAAATGGCGTTTTTATACCAGTTTTACTATAAGTTTCTTTAAGAAAAGTCAAATAACTTTTTAAAGACGTAGACGTCTTTAACAAAAATTTTAAAAAAATCACTGATGAATTTTAAACGTTGAAATTCATCAGTGGATTTATTTTTGTGATGTTCTGCTCATCATTAATTTTGCATGTAGTAAGAGCTACTGAGAACGCAAAACTGCATTTTACGTCTTCCGAAGAAAAAGAAAATAATTTGATCACATGAGTGCAAAGTATTTGTCTCTATCAAAATATCCGCAAAGCTATGGATCATATCGTTTCATCTAAAAATTTAAATGATAATCATCCAAAATGATAAAATTGAAGTCTTGTGTTATCGGCAAAGTTGGGTGGTCTTCTATGTTTTAACATTTAACATTATGACTTAACTATTTGTAGACAAGTTATAAGAATAGTGGTACCAAACACTACCAATACCCATCAACTGATAGCAGCAATCAACTAACCCTTCAGTTATCTAGATTGTCAAACTGTCCCTGATTCGTGAAAATATGATTGCGTTTAGGTTAATATCCTTCTTTTCATTTTTTTATAGAAGCAAAATGCCTAAGGTATTTCATTTTTCATTAATTTCACAAATTTAGAATTCGTAACTGAAGCGAAATGGTATTATGGCATAAAAATATGAAGAACGAGTTATTAAACTATCTCAATTACAAAGGTAAAGCTTATAATTTTCAATCCGAATAGGAAGAGCTATTATGAAATCTATGCTGCTGAGGATTTGATCTGTTAAATACCTGTACAGATGACATAACGGAGAGGTGTTGTAATCTCTGTCAATAATTATAAGATCTCTAGACTGGACAGATTAATCTGTTTATTGAAAAGGTCAGGGTCAGTCTAAAGCAAAACGTCACTGGTATAGGGGGTATAAAAACTATAAAACATTAAGCAGATTTTCTTGTTTATTGTCCCATATTTTTAAATTTTTTTAGCCATTACTAAAATTCAGTTAATAACTGCGGTTATACTGTCGTTCAAATCAGTAAGCTGTTGATTTAGAGTTTGTCAAAGCAAATTGATAGCATCACCATTTTTATAGACTTTCAAGAGATGACAGAAAGACCCAAGGAATTGATACAATGTTTTGCAACCTTTCCGCAAAACACGTAGTAAAAAATTAGAAATGACTAGACAGTAATGTTTTTTTTTCATCTGATCATTTATTTTCATTTTTTTATTCCATATCTTATTAGCATTTATCTTTTATTCTTAAATTTGTCTTGACAATGTGGAATGTTTAATGCTCATTATTATCATGCTTAAATAAGACGATGTTCCATGTCTTAACCTTTGGGAACTCAGAACAACAGATGAGCTGATTGAAAATGATGTTTTATTGCATATTAGTGATCAACGAAATACTTTTATTGTTTTATGAACTCATAGACAAAAAATATCGACAATAACCCTTTATATATATATATATATATATATATATATATATATATATATATATATATATATATATATATATATATATATATATATATATATATATATACATATATATACATATTATATATATATATATATATATATATATATATATATATATATATATATATATATATATATTTGAGAGGTTGGATATTAATGTTAAGGGCTACAACTTTCATCTATTCACCATTCTCTTTGTGACAAATGAATAAATGGAACCACTATTTTTTTTTCCAAATAAACTTCTGTGATATCAATTATTTTAATTTATATTATATTGAGGCTTGATGTCAGCTTTATAAATCTTAACCTTTTTACTCTTCTTGATTTCTAGACGTCTCTGTATTAGACTTTGTTCCTAAGGTCATGGTTCAAACAACCTCTTGAGTGAAATATGGAGATAACGAATAGTAATCAAGCACAAAAGTCCATTGAAAGAATACAAATCGGGAGCATGCAGAGCAAACAAGGACCTTCAAAAGCATCAGAGGTGGGATCAGGTGTCATGGAGGAGTAAGTATCCCCTGTCACCAGTCACACCCGCCGTGTGCTCCTTGTTATGATCGGGAAAACGGAATTCAGTGTGTAAATAATGGCCTAACAATTAGTATGAAAAACGTCTGCTTCATATGAATATAAAAATAGGTCTGCTAATAAAGGGTGCAATTAGAACCAATGGGAATTCCGATAGCTTGCTGGAAGACATGATCTCCAAAAACTACATAGATATTGTCAATCAAAAACTCAAGCATCTTTCATAATATCAACTTCGGAATACTTTATGTACAATCAGAATATTTTTTTGAAAAAATAATTTGCAAATGACCAATGAGAAGGATTTTTAGATTTTTTTTTCCTGCATACAGTACAACAATTTTATACCGAACACGGATATCGCGAATCCATGTTGAAAACGAACGAATGTTTTTCAACCAGTCTTTAAAAATTCTGAGTAATAAATCAGATATAACGAATTCCAAATATAAATAAGTTATTGTCAATTCCCTGGCGATTTCCTGTAGCTGTATTATACTATATTCCCATGTAAAACTTTGACCTTCCTATGTGGCTCCGCCCTTGTCCCAGTGGCAATGATTTAAATCATTCTGTACCTATATTTTATGAAGATGCTTTACTCTTTCTTTGACGAATTATTGTCATGCTTTTCTTTATTGTTAGTATCTTAGTTACATGTAAATTACATTATATTACACATAAATACGTTACTCCGCTTAACGCTGAAGTATACAACCGGCGTCATAAAAGTTTCGGGAACACGCAATTTTTTTCCGTACCGATGATTAAGTGGATTTCAAGCATGCATTTGACGATAGGTGAATACACCACAATGATCAAATTGGTTGCGAAAAAATAAATAATCGAAATTCCCACGAAGAATAAGGAAAATATACTATTTTAGCTCTAATAATAACTGAAACTTTTAAATTTGGATGCATTCTTTACTTTCTGTAACTTTTATTTCTTTATCAGCCATGGTGGAAATTCAAAATCTTGTTTAAAGAAAATAGATTACAAACTAGCTTTAGTTTTGAATTGGCTTATGTGTTAACGATGCAACATTTGGCAACTAATCTCAACAATGGCAATACTCAGTAGTAAGCTGCTTCCAGTCATAACGAAGATCACTCTTCAAAAAGCTAAATAAGCCATTAACAGTTACTGTGGTGAATAATAATGAAATCTTTCTTCTTTTTTTCTTCGTAGGTTTTGATGGTGTTTTTGTACAATTCATTGCAGTCGATACCCTTTGTGGTCATTAAAGGCGATAATCAAATCGCAAAAGCTTTATACATGTACCACATTTTCTGGCCTGAATCTACCTCTTTTCATGACAAGAGATTAACGTATATGGATTTTAAATAGAATTTTAAAGATATATTTTTATGTAAAATTTCGATACCATATTGAGACGTCAACGAAGACCATGTACATCGTACAATCCGTTTACCTCAGCATAATGAAAGCGGGGTAACTCGGCCATCAAATGAGGATTGCTTTATTACCAACACAATTTGATTTTTAATGATTGAGCTCTACCTCTAGCAATATAGAACTAACATTTTTTTCCTCCTTTATTAAAGATTCAGTTGCAATTTTTTCTTCGGAAAATAGGATTGACTTTTGCATTCGATATTTTATTAAAGATGACGTTTAAATCAAAGTTTTAAAAAAATGAGAGGATAAAGGTTTTTACGTAATCAACAATGCATTTCCTCATATTTTGATTTCTATCATTCTCTCTCCTGTAAGCAGTGTATTCTTTCATGCGGGAAAATCGATTCAGACCATAAAATGTGTCATGACCTTGGTAAACACTTTAATCAACTTAAATTTTGAGTAAATTAATGAAAAGTAATTGTTGAGTTTACCTAAAATAAAAAAATAAAGAAATCCTGTTAAATAATTCCATATTATATTACTAAATTACATGAAATGTATAATTCATATATGCATGTATTTTGATAGTCATAGTGAAGGAATTTGCCTGACAAGATTTTTATAATAATCATAGCACAATTTTTTTTCCCACCAGTATCATATTCTTTATGATGTCTATTTTCAAAAAAGCAAAACAAAAAATAAGTAAAATAAACAAAAATTAAAAATCAAATAACCAACCAACAAAAAAAAAACTTTAATTTTAATATCGGAATTATTATTATTATTATAAATTTCTGTTAACTTAAGGTCATTTGAATTTGAATTCGAGCTCATAGGTGTTAAAATGTTCAAATTATAATAAACAATATTTTGTGTAAGGTCTTTTCAATACAATGTTTCTATTCTTTTTTCACAAAAAAAAAACAAACATAAAATTACCATGCAGCCCTTTAACAACTTGCTTTAACAATATGTGATAGGTTGAGTGTTTCCGTGTTTCTAAAAGCAATTATGCAAAATATCAACTTGTTTTTTTGATTTTTAGATAGCTTTGTTGAACAAATACCTTCATCTTAATTTTGGGAAGTAATGAAGAAAAAAGAATGTAATAAGTAAGAGAGTAATATTTAATGTTTGCATTCAATAATGGAACAAGTAAGAGCGTAATATTTAATGTGTGCATTCAATAATGGAACAAGGAACAGCGTGATATTTAATGTGTGCATTCAATATATACAAAATGTCCTCCAGTCAAATGTACCTTTCTGAGTAATAGCCATTAACCATATACACATATATTCAAATTCAATTTTTCATTTCAGTGCCAATAATCATGGAATTTTAAACCAGAGAATTCGTGCTTACAGAGTCACAACAAGGTCTGTAAGTGAGAGAATTGTATCCAAAAGCTTTAGGACCAACAAATTTAAGTGCTTCTGCCGTTTTCAACTTTTCATGAGCTGGCAAAACCAGCACGGTTACACGAAGTCCATAGCGCAATGCCTCTGTTGGTACTGGCTCCCCGGTATCTGTATCAACAATGGTGATCAAATCAGGGACAGTTGCTACAACTTGTTCCTTGTCAGCTGACGTTAAGGTGGCAACCACATTTTCGTTCTGAAATTCAACTTTCAGGACATCGTCGCTGTTAAATGATGTTATGGTAACATAGCCTATATTAAACCCACCCGTTGTTTCTCTCTTTACGCCAACTATTTTACCACCTATTAATATTCTTCCGCCGGTTACTCCAAGAACCGCGTCTGTTGTAGATAGTTTCATGTTTCTGGCATTAATTACAGCCCTTCCGATTTTCCACGCAAGACTAGTTGTGAACAGGACAGTTTTCTTCAACACATCGTCTTTTTGCAAGCTTGATATTACAACACCTGCCATGCAACCCATTTCAACAACTACTTTTCGGAAATGATTTTCCAAATCTTTAGCAGAATTGGCTTTTAAAACGACAGCTCTTCTCCCTTTTGCATCAGCCAATGTAGAAGGATATGGTAGCATTCCGTATATAAGAGGAGTAAGCATTTGGAGCTCTGGAAAAGCTCTTCCCATTCCATCACAATCTAAAACCGGCAGGTTCATTTCAGCGGCAACAGTAAATGGTTCCACAGAGTTTATGCCTCCTATTTCCGCACTCATCACACCAACAATTCTCTTCTGGCCCATGTACTTTGAGAGGATTTCATTCTTTTCATTGCACTTAAAATCATTAATGTATGTGATGTTTTCTTCTTTTATAACATCAATGTCTTCTGGGATTTCTCCATTACAATATCCAGCAGAATATAAATCTGCCATACATTTCAATGCATCTTGGCTTTCTTTGCCAAGAAGCTTTTCCTCTGCAATAAGTGGTGCTCCCATGCTGGCTACAATAACAACCAAATCATTCCTGTCATCAGCATTTTCCATGATCTTCAATGGATTTACTATTTTGATTTGTTTCCCTTCCCTAAGAGAATTTAAAGCCCTTAGTTTTCCAATATACGGAGAGCCACCACCTCCAGATCCTAGAATCCCTGCACCAATAGTAATGCATTCCACATCGAACTCGTTCAAAATCCATTCCCCAGCTGTGTTAACAAATGGAGTCTCTGCTTTGCATTTGTTTTCATTCTTTCCGGCCAGAAGTGTATTTGTACTAGAATTCTGTTCTTTGTTGCCTTTGGCATATTCTTCATAGCTAGCTGGCATGTTTCTTTGCTCTAGTTTTCTTAGAACAAGACTTACGGGACGACTCTTCATGTCTATATTACCAATTGTTTTCACGAAAAATTTAGAAGCATTTCCGGGAAGATATGATAATGGGATATCTCCTTCCTCTAACACAAATATGGATTTTTCCTCAGCTCCCTTTTCTATGGCATTAGCAATGGAAAGCTTACGAGCTTCATCTAATAGGTTCTTGTGTGCTTCTTCATAAAATCTTTTCCTTATATCCATTTCCACACGTTCCTTTTCTTCTCCCGTCATGTCGTTCTTTAAGGCTTCTAACATCATCCTGTCTTTTTCTACTTTGTTTATGTGATCATCTAAACTCTTGACATATTCCACATTTCCAGCAACTTGGGAAAGAGCCGCACCGATAGCATTTGCAACTTCAGAATATTCAGGAATTATGATTTCACTAACGCCTGTCATCTTTTGTTTCTTATCTACGAGTATGTGACCACCCCCTACCAGAATCACTGGAAAATCTTCGGATGTGATTTTTGTTTCATCGATACACTCCTCTATTTTTCTTTTTATCGCCTCGACAGATTTTTCAATAAATTTCTTTGGAAGATGTTCGACATTTCTGGGTGTTCCTACCTTCGAAATGTTTGCTGCAACCGAAATGTCCGTTGCAGTAATCTTCTTGTCACTAATGTCATCCTGATTCGCAAAAACTAAGCTCTCCTCTAATATTCTATACCCAGCACTCTCTGGTCCTACTACAATTTCTTCGCCTTCTTGTCGCACGTAAGATCCACCTCCCAAACCTATGCTTCTAACATCTGGCATGTGAAAATTAGTTCTTATTCCTCCAATTCTAATCTCGGATGATGAAAGTTTTGGAAAACCTTTTGTTATGAGTCCTACGTCTGTAGTTGTTCCTCCAATATCAACCACTATCGCATTTTTAAGCCCTGAAAGATAAGCTGCACCTCTCATGCTGTTTGTTGGTCCACAGGAAAACGTGGTGATTGGAAATTTCATTGCCATTGACTTTTCTATGATGGTACCATCATTTTTGGTAAGAAAAAATGGACAGGTTATTCCTATTTCTGATATAGCGGTGTTAAACCGCTCTACAGTTCCTTTGCACAGAGGTTTCAAAGTTTCATTGAGTATTGCTGCATTTTCTCTCTGCAAAAGCCCAATTTGGCCAATGTGATGTGACAATGTAACACTTATATTGGGATTATACTCTTTTATGAACGTATAGATCAAGTTTTCCTGATCGACACAAACAGGTGAAAATATTCCAGCTACAACAATATTCCTGACACCAATTGAATACATTTTCTTCAGAAAGTCAATAATTTCATTTTTATCTACTGGTGATATTTCTCTACCATCGAATTCGTATCCTCCATTTGCCATACAGACTCCTCCATAAACAATTTTTCGCAAATCTTCAGGGATGTCGGAAAAGGGTGGAATGTTGCGAGATGCCGGTCCACAAAGTCGAATGACACCCACCTTAACAAGGCCTTTTCTTTGTAAGACTGCATTTACAAAGTGGGTGGTTCCAATGTTAATTTGTGTAAGGGCTATCGGCGATATCTCCAAAGCTTTATTGATAACTGAAACCACAGCATTCCTTACACCGGAAGTCACGTCATGAGTGGTTTGTGTTTTAAATGATGTCAACACTTTAAAAGGATTCGTATCAATGTCCAGGATGACTGCATCCGTGTTTGTTCCACCAACATCCACTCCAACAACTACACGCTTTGTATCTGTTGCCATCAAGAAATAGTAGGGTGGCTGAAAAAATTGAAATAAAATCTTCGAAATCTCTATTTTCTCCAAAATTAATCTACATGTATATTGTTTGTTATCACTGAATAAGTCGTTTCAAATGTTACCTGTAAGACATAAAATACCATACACTACTGAGATAGATAGATAGATAGATAGATAGATAGATAGATAGTGGGCGTGGGGTTTGCAATAAATATCATTTTTTAAAATGTAGCTTTATTACTAAAGAATAAACCAAGGCTGTTTTCTACCCCCAATTTTCCTGATCACTGAGTTCTACATTTAACGGCCTAGTTTCAAACGACCTATCATATTTTAGTTATTTACTCCGTTTATTCAATATTTGACCTGAATCAAGTTCGAATGTGACTATTTCATGTTTTCAATGAGTTTACACCAAGCCATATAAAAATGACCTCATTACCCTGTAAAAACATATTTTCGCTATTTATAGCATTTTTTATTCGGTAATCGTGTAAGTTGTCAACAGGTAAAACCTAGAGTACATGCAGAGAAAAGCCTTATTGAATGCTCAAGTGTATATCTAATTTACATAATTTTTGCAGAGAATTATTGGAATAAATGAATATAAAATGCAAAAATTGTAGATAAATGAAGTCTATCATCCGTGTTTCCAAACACAACTTGATTGAATTTTACACAACATAGCTTCCATACTTTAATACTTTGTTTGCCGATCTCGAATTTCAAGTTGTAAATTATATATTCCTGGAACTTGCTATATAATTTTTAGTAAAAATATAAAAGCTATATCGTGATCTTTACGATACAACCACAAACCCTACCCTAAACCCCACGTAACAAAATATACCACTTTCCCGCGAGGCTTACCTATCGAAAATATTAAGTCCAAGATTCCACTTAGTATACAGTACTACATTAACTTGCAGTATTATATTAGACAGTACTTGGTCTACGGATCAAAAACTGAAACCATAGGTATAGCACTCTAGAGTCTAGACTGTTTATCTGTACGTGATTTGAACTAGCATTCACCGTTTATCTTTATTTCCTATGGCGAGCTGTTGGTGTTATAAATGAATACTTTACAAGTAGCGAAATCTTTGCACCAGTTAAATTATTTTCTAAACACAACACGCGCTAATGCACTTGCTTAGCTGAATCTTTTGCAGTTCTGCATGCTTTTATATGTATTCCTTTTACAAACTTTATCTGGAAACAGGCCAGTGGGATTTAATTACGCGTTCACTAGTTTAAAACTTAGTCTTATAACCACAGGCATTTGTTTCGTATACGGGGCACCCCTACTTATTTTTATCACAAGGTACCTATCTCAATTTCAGACACCCCCGCTTCAAGCTCGTACTTTGTTTATATATCAATTATTAACCTACTTTAAAATGACATCGTTCGCTTCGAAAGACTTTTTTCTTGTCAAATTAATCGTTTCGGACGTCTCTGGTCAAGCCTCTTTATTGTAGACCACTCATTTCTTCCTCGAAAATTACCTCGATACAAAATAAGACTACGAATGGGATACAAGGACTTCCGGTTGGGGTTATAAATGTAGGATAAATCCAGAGACTTACGAATATTCCTTTCCGATGATATTTTCAAACAAAGTACATGTACAGTAAAAATTTACCCGAAATACCTATTCAAAAAAACAGATCTTTGCATTATTTCATAAAAACGATTAAAATATTTGTTTAAAAAAAAGCAATGCAATCATTCTTAATTTCAAAATTAGGATGACTTATACTGATTTACAACTTCTTACTAATTAAGTCGTTGTAGTTGGCAACAATAAGGCAGGTTAAGGACCCTATCTGTATTTCTTGGGAATCTCTCAGATCTCTCAATTTAATGCAATAGTTCGCCGGCCCGTAGGAACCAGGGGAATGGGGGTAGGGTAAGTGGCAATAATTTTGCCAAAATGATGTATACTATAGAAAACGAACCATCTTTATGGATAATTAGGAATTAGTGAAAAGTAACGGCATCATTTAAAAGTCTTGTTCTCAAGAACCACTGGCTAGAAAGGGCAACAATATGCGATCAAAGTTTTACATAGGTGTATAAGAAAAAAATCATTTGAAATTTTTGTCTCAAGGACAGCAAAGCCATGGGCAGTCAAATGGAAGTATCCTTAGGTAGTGTAGATTCAAGTTTGTTCAAATCATGACACCCGGAGATAGGGTGGGCTATATTAGTTTTCATATAAATATATCAGAAAAAAATATTCAAAATTTTTTCTCAAGAACAGGAAAACCATAGTTAGTCATATTTACATAGAAGCATTCTTAGGTTTTTAGATACAAGTTTGTTCAAATCATGACACCTAAGTATCAGGTGGGGCCACATAGTAGACATTACTTAAAAATGCATACGAAAAATTTATTAAAATACTTTCTCTAACGAATAGCAAAGTCATTATTAATCATCTTAATATGTAAGCATCCACATTTTACTCAATGCTTGTGTACAGGGAAAAATATGCTGATGAAGAGCAGCAAGATGAAAGTGACTCAGATGAACTGTGGCCCATGGGCCTCTTTTTTTTTTATTTCTTTTCAAGGAGGAGGGATAACTTTAGCCACAGAGTTGGTAAAACTGCCCTCGATCATACCTGTCTCTTGTATGTATAAAATCAAATTCAAAAAAATTATCTAATATGGATTTTTTTTCTTCGAATTTGAGAATATATCTATACTGTTATTTGCAAGAGATGTCATCTATGCAAAATTGATTAAATATGGAACTTAAAAACTTATACGCTTACAAGTTCCACCGGTTGGGACAAGGTTTACTTCTCAAATATTATTCATGCTTTATTTCAGATCACAAAAGGTCATTCAAACTCAAAAATTGGCCCTCCACAATCACATACACAAATCAAACACCCTCCCATAACCCTGCAAATAAAACATCCTACCTTATCCTGCCAATCAAACATCTTCCCTTAACCCTGTAACCAAACATCCTCCCTTAATCCTGCCAACCAAACATCCTTCTTTAATCATGCCAACTAAACATCCTCCCTTAATCCTGCTAACCAAACATCCTCCCTTGACCTTGCCAACCAAACATCCTCGTTTAATCCTGCCAAACAAACCAAACATCCTCCCTTAATCCTGCCTATCAAACACACTCCCTTAATCCTGCCAACCAAACATCCTTCCTTAATCCTGGCGAGCAAACATACTCCCGTAATCCTGCCAACCAAATATCCTCCATTAATCCTGCCAAGCAAACATACTCCCTTTATCCTACCAACCAAACATCCTCCCTTTACCCTGCCAACCAAACATTCTCCCTTAACCCTACCAACCAAATATCCTCCTTTAACCATGCCAACCAAACATCCTCTCTTAATCCTGCCAAACAAACATCGTCCCTTAATCCTGCCAACCAAACATCCTCCCTCAACCCTGCCAACCAAACATCCTCTTCTAACCCTACCAACCAAACACCCTCCCTTAACCCTGCCAACAAAACATCGTCCCTTAATCCTTTCAAACAAACATACTCCCTTAACCCTGTCAACCAGACATCTTCCCTTAATCCTGCCAACCAAACATCCTCTCTTTGCCAATCAATCTCCTCCCCGAACTCTGCCATGAACTACTTTGCTGCATTACATCTAATTTTAACTTTTGCAATAGATCATAAATTAGGAACAGCAATATTGGTTCTCTCCACTTGCCAAACCAGCTATTAATTTTTTATCACCCTACGGTGTCAAAGTGAATTTTACAAAATGCTAAAATATTCTTTAAGAATTGACCATGTTATAATTTTTTTTTTCGAATTAGAAAGTGGCGATGCCCCATCTTACCATTTTTAAAAGATAAGCTCGTAATCTTGAAATGTTAGTCAAAATTGTGTTATCCGTGTACAAATAATGTTATCTGTTAACGTGACCCAAGGTATAATCGTTTTCAGTTCAGAATTTGACAGCGGTATGAGCTGGATCCAGGTATTCGGACGGAGAACATAAACACCCGACAAGGTATCAGCATAATTATCTAATCTTTATTTAAAGAATTTTTTACTTGTAATTTAAAGTTTTAATAAATTGTAATGTTTAAACGTTATACTGTAGTATTATTATTGAATGGTGAATTATAATTATAAACTGGGGTATATGTCAACAATGAGTTTAGGTCACATGTTTATATCACATGTAATAACTTTACCTAGGTATAATTAATTAATTTCAGTTTATTGCATGTGTATGTCATTTTATTTTGATATTTTCTTTAATAAGTTGTTTTTTAATAAATCTTCCACAAAAGCAGAAAAATAAGACTTTTCTATGAAATATTTTTATAAAACTCATTCGTCTACGAAAGCAGAATAAAAGAAGACATTTTCATAAAACATTTTTTACAAAACTCATCCGTTTCATTCATGTACCTTTTGTGTACGTTTGCAAAATAAAATCAAATTGAATGTTTCTATAAAACTCATATTTCCTATGGCGCTCTCGGAAATCAAAGTATCATAGAAAATCAAAGTATCATAATAAATCAAAGTATCATACAAAATCAAAGTATCATAGTAAATCAAAGTATCATACAAAATCAAAGTATCATAGTAAATCAAAGTATCATAGTAAATCAAAGTATCATAGTAAATCAAAGTATCATAGTAAATCAAAGTATCATACAAAATCAAAGTATCATAGTAAATCAAAGTATCATAATAAATCAAAATATCATAGTAAATCAAAGTATCATAGTAAATCAAAGTATCATAGTAAATCAAAGTATCATACAAAATCAAAGTATCATAGTAAATCAAAGTATCATAGTAAATCAAAGTATTATACAAAATCAAAGTAAAGAGAAAAGCAAAATATCATAGAAAATCAAGTATCATAGTAAATCAAAGTATCATAATAAATCAAAATATCATAGTAAATCAAAGTATCATAGTAAATCAAAGTATCATAGTAAATCAAAGTATCATACACAATCAAAGTAAAAAGAAAAGCAAAATATCATAGAAAATCAAAGTAACAACAAAAAAAAATCAGAGTATCATACAAAGTAAAATAGAAAACCAGAGTATTATACAAAGTAAAATAGAGGATCAGAGTATCATAGACGATCAAAGTATCATACAAAATCAAAGTATCATACATAATCAAAGATCATAGTAAATCAAAGTACCATGATGGTGAATCAGAATATCATAGGAAGTAAAAGTATCATAGAAAATGAAAGTATAATAGAATACCAAAGTTCTATAGTAAATCGAGGTATCATATAAAATAAAAGTATCTGAGAGAAAGAGAATCATAGAAAATCAAAATATCAGAGAAAATCACTGTACCATAGTAAATCAGAGAATCATAGAAAACAAAGATATCATTATAAATCAAAGTTTGATGAAAATCAAACAAAAATAAAATATAAAATCTGAGTATCATAGAAGATCAAAGTATCATAGAAAATCAGAATATCAAAGAAAGTGATTGTGTCATATATAGGAAATAAAAAAGAACAGTAGAAGACCAACGTATCATGATAGTGATTCAGAGTACATTGTATCATAGTCAATCAGCGTATTATCGAAAATCAGAGTATCATAGAAAGTGAAAGTGTAACAAATTACTGAAAGTACTACTACGAGTTGATGGTATTGATTATATAATGTTTAAATGAGTTGAGGTCTCTAGTCCATATATGGATTATGTTATATTAATCCATATGCAATGATGAAAGCTATCACTTTAAAATTTGTTCTTTTTGTTTTCTTTGAGAAATAAAATTATATCATTTTATTTACACCTTTCGCATCCTGTATTTTTAACATGTATATTTACTTTTTTAATATTTACTGGAATGTATAATAATTCCAGTAATCATTAAAACTACAGAGAACATTTTTTGGGCACTCGATATCATTTGACAGAAATATTATATATCAAGAGACTAGAAATTTCAAATAGAGAAAAATGGCACAACTGTTCTAAAGTCATATTACAGTATTAAAAGAACTCCTAAATAGACCAAAAACAAACAAACAAACAAAACAAAACAAAACAAAACAACAACAACAAACAAACAAAACAAACAAACAAACAAAACAAAAAACAAAAACAAGAAAAAGCTTTAAACATACATATCTCAAACCAATTGGCCAAACCCATAATAGTATTACAAGTAGGGAATTATTATTTACAAATAGCGCAAATTCCATTAACATGCTCATTGAATATTTTCACTGCTTTCTTAAATCGACAAACAATTTGACATTTTCAATGCACATCAATATGTTCCCATTCTCCTGATTAAGCCAGTCTTAAAATTCAAATCTTTTACTTTCATTCAAATGTATATTTCATAATTCAATTTTCTTGATTTATTTACTATTGAAATCCAACTCCTTGTCTTTCAAAATTTACATGCACAAATGATTTCAAATCAAATAATTTAGCCACTCTTGAAATTCAACCCCCTGTCTTTTATGATCATTGATATGCGCAATAACATTTTAATTCTCTTGATTACGCTACTCTTGAAATTCAACTTGTTGATATTTAACTGAAATAAGCACATTTTATATATCATTTCTCTCAGTTTAGCCTTTCTTGAAATTCAACTACTTGACTTTCATTGATACATGTATGCACGTTTAAAAATTTCAATTCTTTCGGCTTTTCGACTGAAGACTTTAAATTCATCACAATGGCATGATATTGACTTTTTACATGATCTATCTACTCTTGAATTAATTTACTTTCTTGATCATTTCACATTTATAAATATGCATTTCACATTTAATTTATCAATACACCCCACTTAATTTTTTTTGTTTTTTGTTTTTATTTATTGCCTTCAGTACTATTAATTCATCTTATAACATGGCCAGCATCTGATAGCAAAACACAGCTGGACATATTAAAGGAAACCACTTTCCAGTGTAGTGCCGACAGTCAATGAGATAAGAATCACAGGCGTGTTACGTGACCATTGCTGTATTTAAAGCTTGCTTTAAAACAGATCTAGATTGTGGAAGGCAGGGATTCTCAACAGTGTTTTTAACAGGGAAAAAGAAATTGGAGCACAAAGTTGTCCGCTGCTGAAAAAATCTAACCCGTGCAGAAATCGAAATCTTTTATTGCTTGCACAAGAAATAAGAACTTTAACTTCAAAATTGTTTTTTCAACCAGTATAGCTCATTTCTTTCATTTGAGATTAGTAGTTGATTTACTTCTACCTTCTTTACTGCAAACTTCTCGCTTTGTTTACAAACATAAGAAGTGTGTTCTCTTTGTTGAATGATTCATCGCTAACGCGGGAAAAATGCTCTGTTCATTAGCATAACAGCGCAAGAATTAATTTATTTATATACCACCAGCACGTCAATCTTTTAAAAATAACCTGGTTTGTACAATGTTCAATTTTGTGAATTTTCTTTAAAAATCTGTTTTCAAAATACTTCTTATTATATAAAACATTTATTGCTTTATAGATCAAAACTTTGTTTGCACGACATGTCACTTTTATTGACCGCATGTCCCTAACACTAATTTCTTTCGCGGATAGACACAAATTCCAATAAAATTAATAATAAACATTTATGTTTATAAACACTTCAAAGTATATCAAGAAACATATTCTTGTTCTGTAGATTATAAAACTATAAATAAACCAATATTGTACAAGAACCCGTACGCAAAATACTCAAACGAAAATGTGATTAGTTTCGATACATTGGGGAATCCCTTACAAGTCACATAACATGAGTTGATACCATCAACTCGTAAAAATGAGAGTATAGTAGAAGACCAAAGTATCATGATAGTATATCAGAGTATCATAGTAAATCAAAGTATCATTTAAAAAATCGAGAGAAAAAAATCAGTTTTATAAAACAAATAACCCAGAGTATCATATTAATTCATGGAAATAGTTAAACAGAGTATAAAAAGAAACAAATTGCGGCGAAATATTTTATTGCAGTTAATTACAATTTACTTTCTAGAAACTTATGTTAATTTTATAATACGTTTTTATGCTAGATAAGGGAAAAAATTAAATTTACAATTTATGCTTTTATTTTCAGATGTGTTTCAAAAACGTGACAGGGACCCAATTGAGGGTACTGGTGTGGGTTGGGTTCGTCGTCGGGTGTATTGCAAAGTTCGTTACCGGGTCCCTGTTTGTTTACAATGTTTATCAAGATGACATCAAACAGACATTTAACTTCAGCCAAAAAGACAGTAGGACTTCTTTTCGTATTCATAGAATAAATCATATCTAAACGTTCTATCTTATAAAAATTAATAAAACATAATTGCAAAATAAACACATACATGTATATAATTATTCGCAAAACTTTACTAATATTTGTATATTTATGGTTGTGCAGTGGAAATTCAACCATCTTTGCTGAATCTGGGACTAGGCGTGGGGTTTCTACCAGGGATGCTTTACGATAAGTACGGACCTACTGTAACGTCAATCGCGGGACTATTCGTTTCTGTGGGGTCCTATATGCTGCTCTGGAGCACAACTAGATATGTAGATTTTTACAAAACTGCTGGAGGTCTTGTTGGAGTGTACTTCATGATTTGTGGTTTGAATTTCTTGTTGATTTTTGTTGATATTTTTTTTTTAATTTTATGTTTGAAATGGAGTGAAAAGATTATCTTTAAACATCACATTAAAACTTATCCTAAATTGGCTTAAGGTAGTACACAAAAGATATGCCAAATTTTTCCCTCAACTTCAGTTTTGTTCAAACTTTGATATTTTGTTCTAGGATACAAAATCTCTCTTTAAATGTACTATGAAAGAAATTCAACCATTCATTTTTTGCCCACATAGTTTGAAATTTGGCCTATCAAACCCGTTTAAGAAGATTGTGCCGACCTGAGATTGGGTGTTATTTAAAAATAACCAGTTGATCTATTGCAAACTTGTGTCATGCTGTTTATAAAGAGGCAATCATTTTGTACTAAAATTTAGTAAAATATTTTTTCATACCGATATATTTGAGTAAAATTTGATGTAAAAATAGAACATACATAGCCCCGGAATTAAAAAAAACCCACATGTAAATAAGCCACACGTTAAGTCCACTTTAAAGAAAATGTATAATTCAATTTTTACAAAAAATCAACAGAATAATTGAAATAGAACCCAGATTAAAATATATCAAAATGAGGGAATTTGAACTGGTGATTTCAGATATTTTGGCGATTTTAAGTAAATCAAATGCCAAAAAATGTGAAGATTCAGTAGATGACATCACTATATTTGACCTTTGACCTCTTTGTATGACCTTGACTTTTATTGTGCAACAAGAATGGAAACTCTTTATAAATATGTCCAAATATCAGGTTTCTACTATATATGGATCAAAAGTTACTTTGCATTTAAGAACAGACAGTCATATGATGACACGATCCAAAATGTAGGCTCCCGAATGACCAATATATACAATGTAGGATGTCTCTAATTTTTCTTCAAAATATGGTGAAAACATGTCACATCTTATTATTTTTCTTACAAAGATCCTTGATTATTAACATTGTAGTGAAATTATTTTTTTTTCTGGTGTACTTTATAAGATTTGCGTTCAAACAGATTTCATGGGTGTTGTGTACTACCTTAAGGTTAATACAGTTTCTCAAAATGTAGATTCGGTTTTGAATTCGTGTTTCTTTTTTTGCATTTGGCCACTTCTAATTCTTATAATAGAATTCTTATTATAGAAGATTGTGAATGATCTTTGTATAATGCACCTAACGTTTCATAACATGCAGATTGTTAAAGCTGACAAATCGGTTGATGAAACATTATTTTAAATTTCAAAATGATCCTCAGGCTTCAAATATTTTGTTGCCAACCTGAATCATAGTTGATTTTTTTTCCTGTTTTGTAGGTCTTGGCTCAGTATTTACGTATATGGTGGCCCTTAATACCAATGTCATAAATTTTTCTGATAAACACAGAGGCAAAATCGTGGGTGGTCTGAACTGTTTCTTTGCTGGAAGTCCATCGGTCTTTTCTGTAATATATTATCATCTGGTCCAGAAAACGAACCAGCATGCAGAAAGTTTTGCGTCTTTTATGGCATTCTTTGCTGTTCTTTTTGCTATTGTGGATATCATCTGTGCTCTATTTCTGCGGGTTTACAACAAAACTGACGAGGTATACACTGTTGATCCCTCAGAGATAATTAATGAGCATCAATCAAAAGATGAAACTCCGATGAAAAATATGCCAAGGCATGACTCTCAAAATGAGAGCGACTGTTGTGCTCCTTCAAACCTCATTCCAGTTGAGCCAAAGAGTCTTAAGGAAATTCTGGTTGACCTGGATTTTTATCTCCTGACTGGAATGTTTAGCTGTGCATCTTCTGTTGGACTGATATACCTTAACAATCTTACGGTGATATCGAAATCGGTCCATCTTGACTATCACGACCAAGATTTTGTACTTATCATACCTATCACGAACGCCATTCTTAGCATATCCATCGGTCTTGCTTCTGATTATTTTCAAGAGAAAATACAAAGAATGGTGATAATATTTCTCACATGTTTTTTATACGTTGGTCTGTCTGTATTGGCGATGTTCCTGGGTGACAATTACGCTGCGCTCTGTATCGCAACTGCCCTCTGCGGAATGGGGACCGGTATAATCTGGTCCCTTTCACCAACAGTAATGAGTGAAATGTTCCATATATCTAATTTGGGGAGAAACTGGGGTATAGCTCTCCTATGTGCCGCTTTAGTCGGAATGGCTGGACAATATTCTTTTGGAGCTTTGTATGACGAAAAGAAGCCAGAGAATGAGCTGTTTTGTTATGGTCTACACTGTGTGTCTGGCGGACTAGGAATTTGTGTGGGGCTGGCTGTAGCAGCTGTTATCTTTGGAATTGTATTGATTCTGCACAGAAAATTTAGGATATCTCGTCTAAAAGCCCAAAAGTCTTGAAATAATTCAATAGGTCGCTTAAATAATTATTTTATCATGTTCTATTTTTTTTAAGTTTATATAGGTTGTCCTGTTCTAACTTTTGCAATTACACCCACGCAGGTATATATTCAAAATTGGAACAAGGCAGTTACATGTGGAAGCGTTAAGCATACTTCTATATATATTATGTCTTCACGTTGTAAACTAGTATGTTGTATGTCCGAAATATATATATATATATATATATATATATATATATATATATATATATATATATATATATATATATATATATATATATATATATATATATATGATACGTTTGCATTCTAGATACAGGTACATTATATTACAAATAGGAAATATTTCATGTAAATACTAATTATATAGCTTTATATTTTATGAATATTGCAACTTTTTGAAGTTTAGACTTCAGTTAGTGACAAAAGACATTACTAGTATAGTCGAAAATATTTTGGTTGAGGAACTTGAAAGTTTTAACATATTTTCTAGTACATGTCTGAGGTTATGTTTGATACTCATGGAACACACGAAATATTTGGTTTTACAAAAATAAAGATTTGATCGAGGGCCTTTAAAAATATATATATAGTGTTTTTGATGTTCCAAGGAAATCTAGAGGTTGTGCATATATTTATATACAGGCAATTCAAACATAATATCGGAACAACTGCTAAAAGATTCATTCCAGACATTATATTTAGGTCCAATAACAACGAATCAAGGTGTTGCTTAGTAATTCTTGAATGTCTGATTTCATTAAAGTTTTCTTGGTTCTTCTGGCCTTGAATCTCAAAAATGGAATGCACCGTCATATTGGACGTCCCTGATAAAGGTTATCATGTTGAACTAGATAATTGATAGTAATATCAAGTTTGATAATTGAGTATTTTAGTGGAGAAAGTTCAATACTTGGGAAATATATATATTTTTAGGATGATCTCTATGAAATGCTACATTATTTAGTTCATAATGAAAGCAGAGAGAGCAATTGTGATGTACATGTATGTTTTAAATAGTATTTTGATGTTTTATCGCCAAAATTAAAAACATAAAAAATAATTTCGGTCTTGATGATTTTTTGCAGAGTCAGGATTGCGTGACACTGAGCAAACTATGTTAATCGGATTATCATTAACGAAGTACCAGACCGTGGAAACAGCTTATTGGTGAAATATTATTAAAAATAACTGTTCAGGTGGGGGAGGGGGGTACCTTATCTTTCCTGACCACTTCTAATTAACGAATACACACAAAAATTAGTATTATATTACAAGACAGTATTTTTAAAATGATGATTTAACCTGCTTCTTTCACTTTATCGGTAAAGAAGAAAGCAACCACCTGGTAGAGTCCTGTCTCAATAGATGTCCACATCAATCAAACTCCTTGCATTTCAGTTGATTTAATTTAAATCCTAGGATCAGACCACGTGTTCTTCTGTGTACAATCATAGGCGTCAACAACAATATTTCATAAGTGGTTCCTTCAAAGTCGCAAATTATTTAATAACAGTAATGAGTATAGTTCTTTGACTTAATAAAGACGATACATATATGAGTGTTTGTTTCTTGTTTTATAATATCATAATAAACTAATACGAGGGTTGTCCCAGCAAATCGCGAACTTTTTAAATATTTCATAAATTACCTGACCAATATTATTCAATTTTGGCATAAAGTTGGGAAATGATATTTTTGTCATTTTGGCTAAATATAATAGGGTTACAATGCCATTTTATAAACATCATTTAAAGGGCATTAAATATCGGTGGTCGGATTATCACAGTAAAGAACAAAAACCCTTGGGATTTTTCATGGTTTTATTGTGTGAACAGATACAACAGAGAAAATAATCGAGAAAGAGAAGAAACAAGATATAATTGGCACGCAAAGCTCAAATTGTTTATAGCCTAAAGATTAACAAATGTAAACAATACAAAAACTCAGTCACAAACACAGGCTGCAAAAAAAAGCAAACTTCCCTATTGTCTGTAAATGTGCAAAATAGGGACGTTTTAAAATGACAGGTGAACAATATTCAACTTGAATCAATTTTCAAAAACAAAACTCTTTTTAATACTATTTGTTTCATAAAATTCTTCAAATCTTCTATTTTGTGTATATAGTATATAAGTTAAAAAAAACATTTTGAGCAATTCAACTTTCAAACATGCAACATTCTCTCAAAATAACATACATTATATCAAAATATTTCAAACATAACAATATGCATATTGCAAAATCCTAATACTGATGGATTTTTTTCTAAATCCTCTATTTTAAAATTTAATACTGATATTTGAACGGTACGACACGCATTACCTTAGCAACACCTCTTCCTATATTTCGAAAGAACAAATTTGAAGAGATCCCAATCTTGCAACCAATACCAAGTAGAGGACACGAATGTCGCCGAAGTATCACAGTGTTATTGACTACAGTTAATGTGTTTTTGACAAAAGCAATCATCCGTGTAAAACTTGCGCATCCATGCCATCGAAGACATGCTTTTTACCCTGGATAATGTTCATTCGAAGATCTGGGTTATTTTCTCTGAACTGACTGTGGAAATTTCTTCTAACATCAGTTTTTGAGAAACTATCCTGAATTTGCAGAAGAGTTGACTGGGGTCTAGGAACACCATGCCCAGGTTCCCAGTTAAATCTTTCGTCATTCTTGTATCCTATGTGGTGATACTTTGGAAACTGGCTTTCGTATGCGGTTTGGAATGTGTATGAATGACGTAGATTTGTTGGAGCAACATTGGATGACAAGCTTCCAAATTCGTCTCGATATTCTGTATCCGTAGTCGAGAAGGGTCTCCTTCGTGCCCGGCGCGGAGAAATCACTGGTTCTGTTGTATCGACTGGATTTTCCTTGATAACTGGTGTAGGATCTGGCATCAGAAAAGTCGGTTGGGGTCGTCTAAATGACGTTTCGTTATTCTTCCTGTATTCCGCTTGTGTACTCAAGTACTGAGTCGTATTCGCTTTGTCGTCTGCATTAGTTTCTTTGCCGTCAGCCATCGCAGCACTGAAAGTACGGAACTTGCCGTCTTCTCGACTGCTAGCGACAGTCACACTGTCTGAAAACGAGACAGACTTCGACATTCCATTTCGATTCCTAGGCTCAGCTGCTGATCGTACGTTTTTAAGCTTGCTATTCTCTACGGACATCAAATTCAGGGGTTCGTTTCTACCAGCCGGTGTGATTTTATAATCTTGAAGGAATTTATGAGTATTGAAACTATCACCCATATTACTTTCTTTGAGAATTGTTTCTCCCTCCTGAACTTTGACTTTGGCATTTTCGACAGTTGGCTGAAGAATACGTTTTTGTACATTTTTGAGTTCGTTATGAGGTAGTATAACTTCCCTCGTTTCTCTTCTATCGCCTGCAAGATTGGGTTGACTAAGGCTTAGTGTGCGCACACCTCTAAAGGCGTCTTTCATGTCTCGACTGAGCTGTGTTGGCAAGTAGGCTGCATCCTCATGGCTGTGCATTGTGTTCATGATCTCAGGACCACTTGTTTCGATATCGTTCATGGAATGAGCTAGGACTTCTGGACTGTAACTTGTTTTGTACAGACCTGCACGCTCTTCGTTGTATTTTCCCTCGTGACCATAAAATGTCCTGGGCTTTTCAGTTTCATGGACCTTCTGCATTTTGTGATTCAAAGTCGTGATTACATGACTTGGTTTTTCTAATTCTAGAACAGCAAATCGGTTCTGGGCTTCAACTTGTTGAAAGGTTTCATCCTGAAAATATATGCAAATATTTTTTTCAGACTCGTAACAGTAACTTTAATGAAAATCTTTGTACTGAAGAACGCAAGTCCGAATGTTACCTGTCTTTGTTTGGTAGTCTGGAGATAGTTTTCAGCAGTATCTGGGGGTACTCCAACAACAGGTGGACAGGGGATATTTTCGGCAGGTTGCCTCTCCATTTGCTGGCTGACTACGCCAAGATTGGGATCGGGATGAGCGGTATCATTCAGTTCCTTCCACCTCAGAGCCTGCATGTGTTGATTTTGTTCTTCTGTAGTATCAGGAAGGTTGACATATTCTGCTCCATTCCACAATCTATGTTCTTCTCGCTCTCGTAGAGTTTTACGTCTGTAAAAATCAGTGAAATTCAAAGACCTTGTTATATCGTTGCTTGTTACGAAAAATATTTCAGCAAAGCAGAGTAGAATAAAATCATTCCTTACGGAATATAATCTGCGTTTTCGTCTTCGTCCGAATTTGTCTTCTGAGGAGGAGGACGGGGAATGATGGTGCGGGCTATCCTTCCCTCAAATGGGCGGGGCGGATCAAACGTATTGATTGATCTTGGGTACTGGAAATTACAAACTAAACTATTAGATACTTAAAAGGATGTGGTTATTGAAATAGCACAGATTCTACAAAGTAATCTTTGTGCGAAAAAAAAATTAAGTCGTAAAATATGTAAGGAAAAGCATACCAGTTTATCATCTTCAACACCGTAAACATCCATGGCTCTTTTCTTGTCATCCATGTTATCCAGTTTCATTGGATTCAATGGTCCGAGTCCGGTGTTGTTGAGATCGTATGTCGTCTGCCATTGATTGCGCTCAATGTTGCGCAGTGCGTTTGCAGACCTTTCCGTGATTTTCTCAGCACGATCCTGGAGATTCGGGCAAACGACTTTAGGTGGAGTTGGATAGTACTGTTGACGGCCACCATGTGCCTTCACAAGCTGTAAATAATCAATATCCGGATATAGTTTGAAATTAAATTGAGGTTTAGTACGGACTTGAAATTCAGCACTCAACTGTAAAAAGTGGGGATTGAGCAGTGGTTAAAACCACATACCTGATGGAATCCATTCTCGCCCTTCCATTCCAGGCCCACTTTTTCAGATTCCTTTGGGAAATACTGGATCTCTCGACGATCTCCATAACCTGAAAATAAACACTTCAATTATGTAACATCATTCATACTCCCTGTTAAATAGTTGTAATATATGCATACATGTACTATGGTACAGTCTCTCTAAAAATTTTCTTTGTCAAATAAATGGTTTTGAACTTTGCATAAACAATGTACACAAAATGAATTTTGTCAAGATGAAAATGATAAGACTTTTATAAGAATTTTGGTTTAGAAGTTACCTTTTGTTTTGTGAATAATTTGTACATCAAATGCTGTCGCTGGCATTTCGGCATTTATCGGCTGTTCTCGGCGCGCCTGGACACCACGTTTAGCATCTTCCGGAGACTGGAATGTTGGGAAAACGGCATAACGAGACATGTGTGAGCTGTATGGGTGCTCCGCAGGAAAATCCTTGTTTATCATAATCTCCCTGAAATCGTAATTAAACATATACAATTTTTCTGACAAGAAAAATTTGAACTAGGATAGAAGATTCATTTCGCCTTTCCCTGAAAAAAAAATTGCTTACCCCATTTTCATCACTTGAGGTCGTGGAATCCTGGAAAATCAAACGAGAAATAATCATTATTAAATTGCTCCTTACAAGTATTTATTATATACATAGATATACGATAAATGATTAGGACATATTATATCAGAAATGTTTTTCGTAGGGGTTCTCTGCGTTAATGAAAGTTCATTTTACTAAAAAGTGTTTTTTTTCTACTTTCAAATAATATTTATTGATATACACTGCACGTGCATATTGACATGATTACATGTTTACAAATTACTTTAAATAATCAATTCTTTATATTGAGCTTGGCGATTGATGCATATAAAGCTACGATTTTTTTAAAGAGGTTGCACTGTATTGACGTACAGTTCGTCGTTGCTTCGAATGTTGCTCAGTTTGAGCTGGGTGAGGGTGTAGTCCTGATTTACTGGTTTTCCTCTGCAAGTAAACAAAAAATATGACAAAAAATTGCTTTTAAATATATGTCTGAGTATATATGATGCGGAGAAGAGTTGCAAAAAAAAGTAGAGTCTTGAAGACAATGTTTTAAACATATACAAAAATTAATAGCTGAATGTGTCGAGACTTACTTTTAGATACATTCAATAATTTTTTTTTAATTTCCATTAATCATTTTAAAATATCAATGAATAGCAACTATTAGTTAATGAAAATGAAATTACAAAATGCGTTGTGTTTCATTTCTCTTTAAATCTATAAAGTTTGCAATTAATGTTAAAGGAAAAGAGAAGCATTTAGAAATCTATGGTGCGCAAATTCTGAAAACATTAAAATGGTAACCTAATTACTGAAAACCTAGGTAAACTAATAGGCCTGTTGAGAAAGGTCAGACTACCTTAACGCATCTTTCATCCAGAAAAATAATTATTTATAAGATATATCCCTGGGGCTCTCTCGTGCCATTTTAACCATTTATCAAAGCCCTCAATCGTTATCCTATCTACCATCAAACCAATTGTCGCGTGTGTTTTATTTATCACCATCCCATTTCTACACCTTAACACCACGTAAATCGATAATCATTATATATTTAAATTTAAGTCTTCATCACGCTTGTGTTCATGGTGCCACATATGTTGTAATCATCAATTATTCATAATTAAAGTAAGATTCAATAATCAAGAAGCTGTATACACGTATCTCACAATTTGTTTCTCTGTATTGCCATATGGGAATACCACCCCTAAATATATTTGCTGTCAGAAAATCTTGTATATGTAAACTTATCCTGTGGTTAGAATCTTCTTCAATTATAGCTGCTGTTGTCTCAAAAGTGGAGAGAAAAAAAAACGTCTGTTTGGTCAGACAGAAGTTAATTGTATAAAGAGAATTTTAAAAACCAAAACATGAGAAATTGATGTGTTTACGTTTGATTTCGTAAACAATTACCAATGGAATGCCATAAAGTTTTATAGTATAATTGTTACTAGTATGCAAAGAGAATACTATTGTGCATACATTTCAACATGTTCAACATATACAAACGTTGAAATCGTTATCAGTTAGTAGCAATTTAACCCAGACTGATAGGGGTATTTACTCTAGATCCTTACTACTATTTTCATTCGCTATAAATACGTGTAATATTAAGTTTTGTCTGTGTATTTATGTGCTGAATCTTTTAACACTACCTTCAGTTTTCACTTTTGAAATTCACAAAACACATTTTTTTTTTACTTACTTGTAATGCCATGTCGGTTCTCCTTGGCCACGATTCCAAGCGTTAATGTTCTCTTTCAGTTTGCCCGACCCCCATTCCGTGGGGACCTTGGGGTTGTGGTCGACAGGTGGAAAAAATTCCAGCGATGTCATGACCTCAAATATTTAGTTATCCTCCGAGAACTTGTTGAAATAATGGATAATTACATCGATGTCTAACAATTGTCTGTGTCGCGTCTCTCGTTGCTAAGACGTATTATCATGCTAATGAATACAAGCTCCAGTTATAATCCGAGAACAGGTGCTTTTTCGTTCAGGTCTGTGATAAATCTTTAAAGTTCCGAGTGGGTTTAAAGTTTTACGTCTTCTATTTAAAAGAGTTCGACTTTGAGGTTGATATTAATATCGATATATTTAAATGCTCAAAACCATTCATCTAAATCCATTTCCTGCGAGATAAAACCTACTGCTAAGCTGTGAACAGCAGATCAGCGAAATTCAACACTTAATCCGATATACTATGAAGGTGCGGATTAATTATCCAAATATTTAATTTGGGTGTTGCAGGCGCGGATCCAAAAAAATTTGGGGGGGGTTAAAAAAAATTCAATCAAGAAATTTCTTGACAAGCAAAAAAAAACAAATAAACAAACAAACAAACGTAAACAAACCTGAAAAACCTATTTCGTGTGTGTGTGTGTGGGGGGGGGGGGGGGAGGGGGGTTGCTGACTTCTAAAGCTTCATATCTATTGATTTTCATACCAGCTTAACACGGATCCGCGTTTTCTAGGGGGGGTCCAAGGTCAGTTTCAGTTGGTTTAGTATATACATTTAATAACTCTGCAAATTCCAGGGGGGTCCGGACCACCACCACCACCCCCGACCCCCTCTAGATCCGCGCATGGGATCAGATGCCTAGGAGGAGTAAGCGTCAAACATCGATTCAACTGATGCATGTATGACTCTCCATTTATAAGTGGACTTGGATGTTTGTCAAAGGAAACCCAAAGTTTGCAGACATTCGTGTGATTGGATTCTATAGACTGATATGTTGTATGATCCCTTTGTAGACAATTTAAGTGCTCCATAACCTTTTTTTTTTTTTTTTTTTTAAAAAGATAGATTCTTACATTAGTATGGAATTCCATATACGACTGCCAACTGCTCACTGCTTACTGCCAACTGCTCACTGCTTACTGCCAACTGCCACTGCCCATAGATGATATTGCCTGTTTTGTTATCTTTAATATCTTTAATTGATTAAACACTATGATAGATTACAATAATAACACGAATTGGCTGGTTCAGGAATTTTAAACAGCGGAGGCAAGGAAGGAATAAATAGGAGGAAAGAGTATTCCCTCTTAAATACAATATGTCTAATTCCCACATTTCCTTGCAGGCAGGTAATTCAATAGCTTTTTTGACGGGGGGGGGGGTATTAAAGGCTTATATACGTCAGAAAAAATGGGGGGGGGTGCAAACTTTTAGTTGGATCTTGGGTTATATTTGTTGGTATATGCATTTATATCAGATATACTAATAAAAAATCATAATGGCCTTTTACTCTATGTAAAAACAGTTCTCTTGCTCTCAGGTAAAGAAAAGCGCTATTTCAGTGCGGGGGGGGGGGGGGGGGAACAACCCAACATAATTCCCTTGACAAGGAATAAAATAAATCACAGGCGTCTTTATTGAGGGAGCTCTACTGTATATAGTATATGTTGGAAATTTAGTGGGTGCGCCCACCACCACTACCACCACGAATGTTTTTACAGGTCTAACATTAGCCATTAAAACGATTTACATAAGACACATATGAAAATTCCCACACATAAGCACTTTTCCTAGGGTAAAAAGAAACACCGAAAGATATTACTAGATATTTTACACTGTGCAAAAGTTATATGTTATTATAACTTTCAGTAATATTTTTAGTATAAATACATAATAATTACATACACCAACAAATGTTACTCAAGATCATTCTAAAAGTTTGTTCTTTTGTCGTATGTGACCCCCCCCCCCCCCCCCCGCTTTTCCCGCGTCCAAAAAAGCTACCAACTTATTTGCTTGCGACGAAATGCATAAATTAAATGTTTTGTTTGTAAGAGGAAATACTCCTTCTTCCGATTTACTCCTTCCTCGCCTTTACAGCTTAAAAATTCCTAAGTCCTCCAAATTTTGTTATTATTGTAAGAACTACGCACGCTAACTCTCGATTCCGCCTACATTTTCCACCCATTTAATTCAATATAATGGCAATTTGGACATTAAAACTTGTTTGAATGCAAAGAAAAGTTCATTAATATTAAGTACTTATTTTAAAAACCAGTGACAAAAAGTTAAATGTTCTTATTTACAACTCCTTCATAAGGGGGTAGAAAATTTTATCAATTGAAATCAGGCTGAAAACATCACCAGATTTTCAAATACTCATGAAAATGGATAAATGACTCTTAAATCTCACCGTATGTTTTAAGGTCAAGATCTAGTAAATAAAAAGAGCCTACAGATTTCTCAAATTTGAGAAATAAATTCCTTTAATGAAGCTTTAGAAGTGCAGCTTGATCAAATAAGGTGTTTCGGCGCATAATTTGTAGGTAAACAAGACGAAAAATCATCTTCTAAACTGTCATTTTCATTCAAAAATTAAGAAAATCAGTCATGAATATGGGAGTTTTTTCCATATCAGACAAATTAAATGTATCCAGATTGCCTACAGTCTCTCAGAAAACGGTAATTTGTATGTTCTTAGCCTCTTCTTTAAAATAATATTAAATTGAATATAGGTTTCGGGATTACTTTTCACATGATTTCCAATTGAATTCCAGGAAAATACTTTATTTTCTACATAATTCTAATACAGCCGTAAAGTACGGCAAAAAAGAAAGTTTAATTTGATTATGACGTCATAATGGATCTAGCATAAAAAATGCAGTCTAAAATCATTTACTAGATCTTGACCTTAACTTATGTAAAATTCAACATATGAGATTGATAAAGTGATAAAGTTCATTTTTTTATTTGTTATCTCATTTGAAATTGGTAATAAAATGATTATTTTCCTGTTTTTAATCTTTAAACACGTGCCCCCCCCCCCCACCCGTGAGACAAAAAAACCTTTGGAAAGAATAAAAACTGAAAAAAGGATTTATTGTTTCGCGGGGGAAGATGTTTTGAAAATAAAGATTCTTTCATTTTCCGTTAATTTCTATAGTGAAAATTTTTCTCAAATTAAAGGTTTATATCTCTTTGTTTTTACAAATAAGTTATGTTTTACATGAACAGATCTAGAAGGGGGGGTTCCGGACCACTCCTTTGGAATTTGTACAGTTATTTAATGTATAAACTACACCAACTAAAAGTGACCTTGGACCCCCCCCCCCCACTAGAAAACGCGGATCCGTGTTTAGTTGGTATGAAAAGTCATAGATATGAAGATATTAAGCATAAGAAGTCAACCCCCCCTCCCCCCCCCCCCCCCCGCCGAAATAATTTTTCACGTTTAGGAAAGGAGTTTACGTTTGCGTTTTTGTTTTGTTTTTTCTTGTCAAGAAATTTCTGGGTTGGATTTTATTTACTGGGGTGGACCCCTCCTGGAAAAAAATTCCTGGATCCGCGCCTGGTTTTTTGAAAATTCACATAAATATCGATATAAATATGAAAATTTATTCAAACATGTGTGACAGTTGGCAGTAAGCAGTGAGCAGTTAGCAGTAAGCAGTGAGCAGTTGGCAGTAAGCAACTGGCTGTCGTATATGGAATTCCATACATATAACACCATTTTTTTAACATTTTCATTGTGTTTTTTCCATACATATCATATATATGTATCATAAGGATTGTGACGTAACAATAACTTTTAAACACTATGACGTCATTGCATTGTCTCAGAGATCTATGGGAGTTGCGACAGTGAATTTCGTTTGATAGTATTTCAAGCATTGAATCATGGCTTTCTTTGTCTTCAACTGGACTAAAAGAGAATACATCCTGACAGTATTGGCTTTGGTGATGCTCGTCATAACGTTCAAGCACAAAGAGTATTTCTGCTGGTAAGTAAGCCTTACAGAGGGAAACAAATACATGTCTTAATTGACGAAACGTGTGCACTATTTAATATTTAAGATGGGGAATGCTTATGAGTTGAATAAGCTCTAGTATGTTTCACTACTTTCTAAAGCAATATTTTTCCTTTAAAATTTGTTATATTCATCATTTTCATTGATATAGTGAAGAAAAGCCAATAAGTACTTTTGAGAAGTTTGGCATCTGGCTTGGTTTTGTGGAGGAGCCAGAGCCGTGTCCAGGGAAGGAGGACCTCTACAATGTGAGTATGGGGTTAATTATAAAATTACGACTCATTGAATTATAGCACCAATCTAAGTCATATTTATAAAGGTACCAGGGTTGTCTCTAAGACCCGGGGGCAGGGGAATTTCCCCTCCTATAATGATGTAATCCCTCGGTCATTTTGGTATTCCTCCTAATTTTCCCATTAGGGGAGGTACCCCCAGATCCCCACCTACTTTTTAAATGTTCCCTTCTATTAGTGACAACCCTGAGGTACCATACTATAAATGGATAATGATAATAGTTTGGATAAATTGATTGCCTCGCGGATATTTAATGAGTCCTTATGGTATAGGAGTCCATCGACGATCCGCCCCCCCCCCCCCTCCCCCCCCCCCCCCAAAAAAAAAGTAAAGCCCCGAGGCTTTTCTGAGCGTTACAGATTTTAGTTCAATAAATCATATAGGTAACATGCACCCTTTCCGGATCCCTTTCTACACTTTCTTTTGTCTCTGCGATTAACAGAATTAGCCCGTATGTGCTTGTATGGAGAAATTAGCACAGACCTTTAACTAAATTGTCAGTTTTATGTTTTCTCAAATAATTAAAATTTTCACATTTTTTAAAAAGATGGCTGTAGAAATGGGAGTTTCCTCTGTGGCTGTACTTGCTTGTACCGCTATATCCAAGATGTGGTACTGGTCCACATCTTTATTTGGACGCCTAACCCAGGCCATGAAGGGAGGTTTCCAGTACCTGATAGGTATGCATGGTAACTGATGTTTAATTAAGTCTGCATTCTTTTTTTTTTAAGTATAAACAATTGTAAATCTTATTGATTTTTTCTTGTCTTTTGAAGACCGTGTTCCATTTAAAAAGGCTACCACCTATACTTATCAGGTGACTCCTCCGAATTACAAGTATTTCTTGTGAGTATACCCAAACATTTGTCTCATATATCGGATTAACTAGATGATATTCACCTTAAGGGTGTAGTGATTACCAATATTTTATTTTTCCCGTAGTTTCCGTAACGCCTACGAACAAAGGAAAATTATAATGGTGATGAGAGAGGGAGATCTGAGCGAGGAGATTTTTGTGTTTTCCCCGGAAACAAAGAAGATGGAGTGCGTGTTGTGCTATAACAAATGGTGTCGTTAAATAATGGACTTTGTTATGTATATTATTGCAGTATTAACATTTAAAAAGTAAATTTCTATTAATCTTGAAGTTAACTGTATAAGGGATATTTATTATCGAGTTTTTATTTATTTACAACATAAAGCAAAGCTGATACTAATATTTAGATATAATTTTAGAAGAATAAATTTAATTGCATATATGAAAACTTTGTTTTCCTTAAATCATTAACCATTAACTACCATGTGATGTGTCCGACATCTCGAAGGTGTAGGACAGATCTTAGTATTTACCTTAGGGGCTCCCGACAATTTTGTTATCTACTCAATGGGGCTTGGCGCGGATCCAGAAATTTTTTCTAAGGGGGGGGGGGGGAGGTCCAACACAGTCATACGCATATATTTTCAATCTTTGTGAGATTTTTGCAAATTTTGGAGATTTTACCTAAAGTATACTTAAATGTTAGATGAAATATCGAAGAAAATTTTGTTATAATTGAGATTTAATTTTTCACCTTCATGTTTGTCGCACTATAGGCACTTCGCTCGCCTTTTGTGGCCATCTTCTTTTACGAGGGTTGTCCCAGAAAAACGCGAACTTTTTTAATATTTCAGAAGCTATTCGACCAAAACTAATAATTTTTTGCACGTTGTTGGAAAATGATAATTTCGGTATTTTGACAAAATATTTTAGGCTTGTGATGTCATAAGTATATAAAAACAGCATTTAAAGGGTGTTAAATATCGGTGGTCGGCGCACGGCAATTTTTTTTTTTTTTTTTTTTTTTTTTTTTTTTTTACTTTTTAAAGTAGCATTGTCAACGAAGTTTTCTTTATTACCAGGCTATACGGAAATATAATGTCACAAGATTTACCTCCATAAATACTCTTTGATCTGGTGTACTCGCATTTGAAAATTCATAAATTTGACATCATAAATGACAAATATATGACGTTATATGCCAAAACACTTTGAATTAGATATTGTCAAAATTGGTGACGTTTGGCGATAATGTGGAGCACGAAATTATTAAGCAGTACTGTGTCGAGCGAGATATGACTCCTATCCATACGATAAAAGAGACGTTAACGATGGAAAAACAAAAACATATATCTCGGACATAGGTTTATCCCTAGCTGAAGAGGTTTGAGGATGGCTTGACTGATAATCCGATAGAAGAGGCGTTTTGTAGACCAACAAAAATGAAGACAACCTGAAAGTCAGGAGATGGACGTCATAGGCCTAAGTGAAGGCGACCGCTAAACAATGTGAACTGTTAGGATTATTATCGGGATTAAGAAATTGTCTATTAAAAGAATTAATTCTGTAATCTTTTGGTAAAACTAGTATTTGAGATGCATAACTTGGTAAATAAAAGAAAATTAAATACAGTGCCGAATTTATGCTTAAATGAATTTTATCAGAAGCACATTTCCAGAATAAATTCACACGTTCTGACGTCGTCAGTGTTGCGCATACAACTGATTTGTAAAATTTGTTTACATAAGAGAAAAATGTTATTTTTGGAGATATTTCATTGAAATTTTTATGCTTTATTCAAAAAATGTTGATTATGATGTATGCCAGTTTTTAACTCTATAGTATCAGTTAAACAAAAGGTATTGAAAATGTTCGCGTATTTCTGGGACAACCCTCGTATACACTGAAACGAATCGGTGAGCAATTAAACTGTGTGAATTATTTTGGACCGTCCCCTTCCCCATTAACGTGCGTATAACTTTCAACTTCAAAAACCATTATATTTCCCTTGGTCTGTCTTATATAATTTTATAGAGGATATAGTAAAAAAAAAAAAAAAAAAAAAAAAACCTGCAAAAATGGTAATTTTTTTTTTACCAATTTCAAATGAGATAAATAAAATAAGGTCTTTTATCATGTTTATCAATCTTTTATGTTGAAATTTACATAAGTTAAACATACGGAAAGTTTTAAGAGTCACTTGCCCATCTACAATGTAGCAATTTTAATGAATTTTCAACCTCTGTTTTGAAAAGAGTCTTAAATAAGAGCAATTAAGTTTTTGAAACTGGTTTTAAAATTATTAATCAATTAATAATGAACGCTTCTTTGCATTCGTTGAAGTTTTAATGGCCAAACTGCCATTTATAGTGAATTAAATGGGTGTAAATTGTAGGCGGGAATCGAGAGTTAGAGTGCGTGGTTCTTAAATGAAAGTATGTAGTAAGTGAATGGCATATTGAAAAAACTCATCGGGCACGAACTTAAAGTCGGGTTCGGAGTTATTGTAATTCCAAGAACAAAACACGAACTCGTGGAGTTTCTCAAACATCACAAAACTTTCGTCATATTGAAATAATTTATATGAAAAGATGTACGACTTCTTTACTTAAAAGAAATACTTTAATATCTCATTGTGGCACATTAAATATGGATTGATTATAACGTGTCGAAGATTGGAAAACGGTAGGTTACCGTCATAATTTTTATCTATTTCTTACAAAAACATTTTTGTAAATAACTGCATATAAATAGCTTTATCAAGTTTTTTTGAATAGCTTAATAAAGCTATATAGCTATTTCAAGCTATATAGATAAATCAAGAGATTGTGTACAAGATGGTGATAGCAGCGTAGCTGAGCAATATCCACGGGAACTGGAAGTTGATGGAAATATTGAGTATGTGCATATGACTATGTAAAAAAGGATTTTTTTTTATACATGCACATACTCAATATTTACATTAACTTCCAGTGCCCGTGTGTATATCCTATATATGTCCCTGATGATAGGTGGTAAAAGAATATTGCATTACGGCCTACAAATTGATGACCGGAATCTGTTAAATTTAGATGGAATCTTTGAGACGGAATTCCACAAAGTTCCGTCTCCTCCTGTATTACACCTGGAATTTGTGGTTTCCAAGCAGAATATGCTTGGTGTCCAGCCAAATTCTGGGTGGAATCCGCCTCAGTTCTTCATACAGGTTATTCTCTATTGAGAAGTTGATGGCTTGTTTTATACTCCCCCTAAACTTCTCTACGAAAGGCCTAATAAAAGCAGTTCAGAAATTGACTAAATGAAGAACCAAACCGAGTCCCACTTCGATCGATGTTTTAGGATTGATGCATTATCATAGACATATTTTGGATGCACAGATGTTATTCTGTCATAGAAATGCAAATAAAATACCAATTCTGCTGACTTAAAACACGTTTTTAATGATAGAACACTTACTTGCGATATCTGTGTCGCCTGATTTGTTTATTTATTCAAAACTGCGTTTGAACCCGGGTTGACCTCTAAACAAGTCTAAAACTATTCCTCCGGATAACTATTTAACACTGGAACATTGAAGCTAATTTATCCGGAGAAAAAGTTTTAGACTTTTTTAGAGGTCAACTGAGTACAAATGCAGTTTTGAATGAATAAACGAATCCGGTGACACAGATATCGCAAGTAAGTGTTCTACCATGATAAATGTTTTTAAGTCAGCAGAATTGGTATTTTTAATCGCATTTCCATTGCAAAACAACATCTGTGCATCCAAAATATGTCTATGATAATGCATCAATCCTAAAACATCGATCGAAGTTGGACCCGGTTTGGTTCTTCATTTAGTCAATTTCTGAACTGCTTTTATTAGGCCTTTCATAGAGAAGTTGAGGGGGAGTATAAAACAAGCCATCAACTTCTCATTAGAGAATACATACAGGTATGAACTGAAGTATGCATGGTATGTATGCATACAAGTTCAGTCAATAATATAATATTCCTAATTGAGTTTTTATAGTGTAATTGATTTTGAATATTAATCTTACTTCACCAGTAAAAGACAAACACTGAAAAAATTTACTGTTTATTACTTTTATAGCATGTTTAGAAATGCTTGAGTTGAACAAATACTTACATCAATACATAGATCATTAGTCTTCTTCTTCCAGTAATGTGCCTGTCTCCAATGTTGGGCATTTTTGCACATGTATGTACTGTAGTCATTTATTTTGTTTTTTAGTCCTACAAAATGAGCAGCTCTATGATGGAGATAACCTTCCTTGGGACAGGGTCTGCCTATCCCTCCCCTTCTCGGGGAGCCTCGTGTGTCATCCTTAAAATGGGTATGTCATGAGAGTTGTTAAAATAAACCGTGGACCTTGGAAGTTGTATTAAGGACATTGGCAAGTCAAGATTTTCCGGAGAAAAAAGGCTTAATACATGGGTTTTTTCACTTATTAAATGGTGCTTGAGAGTGATCTACAGTGTAGATCTTTAATAAGCGGTGAAAACCAATTAAAGCCAATATTTACAGAGGTAAACAAAAGCATGTGTACTTCCTTCAATGGGTAGAATCATCTATACAGCAAAAAAGAAAAGTAGTAATGGCTTTGTTGTACATTGTATTCAGGGGACAAAGAGCGAACAGGTCGTCATTTACCATAGTTGTGCTCAGTATGCTGGGAAGGGCAAATATGTGACATATGCTGAAAGGTAGACCAACTGAGATCAGTTCCTAAATTGTAGGAAGGAAGCAGCATTTAGTAACAACGAATGAAAATTGAAGTAAATCCATGCCAATATTTTTATGGCAATGTGTTTCAATCAATTCAGTCAATTAAATGACAGAATCAATCAACCAGTCTGACTCTCTTGACCATTATGAATAATATGTAATTATAGCTGTTAAGGGCAGTAACTCAAAAATAAAGATCGGTGCTGGTATGTCCATGTCTTGTTTCTATAATATACATTTTCAGTCAAAATATCTAGAAGTCATAGGAAATGAAGATACAATAATGTATATAATACAAAAACTATATGAAATATTAGTGGGTTTAGGAGAAATATTATGGTGAAAAAATTATGTAGGTCCCTTTTATCAAGCTTTTACATAGGAAATGCATTGAGAATTCCAAAAACACTGATTTGACAAAATCTAAAAAAAGAAGGTTGGCTTGGTAGGTTAAACAATCCAGAATATAGCCTATTTAGTACAATTAAATCTACTCAAGAGTTCTTGAAAAATTCTATACGATAACCAGGAACCTTGCCAATGTCCTTAAATCTTTTGAAGTGCCTGAAAGTATTTTTATTGAAATTTGCCCTTAACCTTTTTCATGTATCATATTCCTCAGTATGTGTTAAAATAACATGAAAAACTCCAATAAGTTACCATACCACAAAATAAATGAGCAACATGTACCTACATGTATGTTATATGTTATACAAGTAACATGTATAACATACATGTACTGGCTATTACAAGTCTAGAGATATATTTTATCTATTCTGGTTTTAAGCATCATAGGGCTTGTGCATAAGCTTGTACAGAACTGAGGCTTAAGGATATAATTAATGAGCAAATAAATAGTATTAATTTATACTGATCCTGATGATGGTTAGTTTGTTTTATAGGGGAATTATCTTTATCATCTTTATTAAGATATCCATTAATTTCTGATAAGTTTTTATTGAAACAGCTTTATTCAATAATTTGTTTTTCATACAGAAAGAAGGATTAAAATGAAAGCAAATTTATACCTTTTTATTGATATATTAAAACATGTTTCTTACTGTCCTTTTGTATCTTGTATTTCTTGTTAAAGATGATGGGTCTTGGATGTTTGATTGTGGAGAAGGATCTCAGATACAACTACAAAAGAGCAAGGTCAAGGCTGGAAAAGTCAACAAAATATTTATTTCTCATCTCCATGGTGATCATGTAAGTTGTAAATATGCAAGCAATGTACTTAGTCTGATTTCTTTACTGACAGAGATTGGGGCAGAGTTCTGTTTAAACCCACACTTTTGATTAGTTTTGAATGATGTTATTTGCTTCAGTGTGTCAGTGTCTGTATGTCCTAGCGCTTCCATCTTTTTATCTGTTAACAAGTCATACAAAACTGTATTCCATTCTGCACTATTTATTCAATCTTTCATTGACCAAGTGCAAGTGATTCTAAAAAGGTTTTTTTTTTTTTTTTTTAAATTCTGTCTAGAGTATTATTACTGTTATTCTTGATACACTGTACAACTCTTTAGTTCTTATCTGCTGATGTGATGCTAGTAAATTACAAAGAAGTTTACTGCCTTCACATCAATTAAGAAGTTAAAACTCATAATTGATTTATTTTGAGGTTTGATTTCTTTCCCACCACTAGTACAGTGCCGGTACTAGTACAGATAGATTCATTCAATGAAATATTAAACCTTACAACGTGTACTCTTTATTTTAGTGATGATATCTGTACTTATAATTTAAAAAGTTGACATATATGGAAGACTCTGTCAGTTTTGCCCTTTTAAAAGATGATCAAGGCTGTAAGTGTTGGGTTTTTATACATGATGTAAGGAGAGAACTTTTTATGTAAACATTTCTGTGTATTGTTTGTAGATGTTTGGGTTACCAGGGTTACTGTGTACCATCAGTGGAAATAACCAAAGGTCAGAGCCACTAGAAATCTATGGACCAGTTGGCTTACGCAAGTTCATAAGAACCAGTTTAGAACTGTCACGAACCATACTCGGCTTTGCATACCTTGTTCATGAAATGAAAGTTTTACCATGTCAGATACCCAGTGAAATTCAGGTAGTGTTTTATCATAGCATTTAGTTTATTAATAACAGAACTTTTATTTAGATGCCAAAATTATCAACTTATTTTATTAAAAAAAGACAACATTCAAATATCAATCAGGTGTGAACATAGCACAACATGGCTGTATGACCAGAGACTGGTTACTTGTGATATATTGGGTGGATGTATGACCAGAGACTGGTTACTTGTGATATTGGATGGATGTATGACCAGAGACTGGTTACTTGTGATATATTGGGTGACTAGAGACTGGTTTCTTGTGATATATTGGGGGGATGTATGACCAGAGACTGGTTACTTGTGATATATTGGTTGACTAGAGACTGGTTACTTGTGATATATTGGGTGATTAGAGACTGGTTACTTGTGATATATTGGGTGACTAGAGACTGGTTTCTTGTGATATATTGGGGGGATGTATGACTAGAGACTGGTTACTTGTGATATATTGGGTGACTAGAGACTGGTTTCTTGTGATATACTTGGGGGATGTATGACCAGAGACTGGTTACTTGTGATATATTGGGTGACCAGAGACTGGTTACTTGTGATATATTGGGTGACTAGAGGTTGGTTACTTGTGATATATTGGGGGGATGTATGACCAGAGACTGGTTACTTGTGATATTGGGCGGAATATTGAAAGGGATTTGATTTGTAGCTTCGTGGATATTTCAATAAAAAAATACTTGGCCAACAAATGTATTTTAACTTCTTGTCCAAACTCTGATTCTGAAAAATGCCAAATTTAAATCCATGATTAAGTATTTATGGGAAAAGGGGAACATGACATGTATTTCTATAGATACCATATATAGAAATGTCAGGGTTTCCATGAAATCTCATTTTTATACCATTTTGATATTGGTATCTTGATGTAAGTGAGAAAATATTTAGCTAGATTACAGTAAAAAAAAAAACTCAGAATAATGGATCATATCACTAATGATAAGGTTAATATAAGAGAAAATTTTCACAGTTGTTTTTAAATAAAAAGTATTTAATGTTTAATGTCTATTTAGAAATGGAAAGTTGAAGAGTCATGTGACTCACTTAGCCTTCATCCAAACGAAAGAAAAGGGCGACTGATACAAGCAGACCAAGATAATGTCTGGACACTGTAAGAAATAACTCCTCAACTGAAATCAATATTCTACTTTTGTTAAATATGACATTAATGTAAATTTCAAAGATTAAATTACCGGTATATGGAAGTCAGAAGGAAATAAATTAAGTATATGTGAATGAATAAGAGTTATCTTTCTTTCCATACTTTTGATTTTAACCATTTATACACTTACAGGTATTCTAATGACAAAATCTCAGTGAAGGCAGTCTACCTCCAACACAGAATTCCCTCCTTTGGTTTTTGTGTACATGAAGCCTCCTCCCCTGGAAAGTTTGTACTTCCTATCAAATTAATACTCTGATATATGCATGATATACATACAGTAAAATGTGTCCAATAGAATATTTAAGTATTTTAGATTTAATTGTATGTAATTAAGATTTAATGTTTATGTATATATTGATAATGGTTTTCAGACTTGATATATCCAGACTGACATTACAAGGGGTGAAGCCTGGACCGTGGTGTAAAGAAGTCAAGGAAGGAAAAGTTGTCACTCTGCCTGATGGAAGAAAGGTCTCCTTTTTTTCTCTTTTTTTTGCTTGCAAACAGATGTAAATATTTCTTCTTTTGTAAAATATTTGTAAATAATGATAATTTTTGTAGACTATACAAGTACCTTGATAATCCTTGCACAAAGAAACAAATCTGGTCAACTGATTGCAGACTGCACAGCCTATCATTAGAGTTCTAACCAATTAATCAGTCAGCATTTGCCTTTGCTAATTACCAAAGTAATTTTTTTGGCTAAGGTTATCTACACATACTCTTAAATTTGGTGATAACAAAGAAAAAAGAAAGTCGAATTCTATTTATGTATGTGTATATTAAAGTTGCATAATGAGTCTAAACCATGTGTTTCTTTTAAGAAAATTGTATCACAAAACAAAAGATTTCTTTGAAATATGAATATAGCGAAGTTTTGACAACTCAACTGCGCTGTAAAGCAAGAAAAAAACTGCAAAATATAAGTGCCGGAAAAACAAATGTTGTATCATCTATCGCTTTGTTTTTATCGTCAATGTCAACAATGTCAAGGTCATGCATCCTTTATTTTTAGCGTGAAACTTGTAAACAACACTGAATTGGAACAAGCAGAAGTAAGGAATAAGTTATGATCATCTTTTTTGAAGATTGTATCAAAATTATCAGTCATCCGACATTTATATCTATGGAATTGAAACCATGGTAAATTCTTCAACTTTTCAGCGCATGCGTACAATAAAGAGGAGGAAGTGAAGCAATATTTTTGTGATGGGTTATACAGAGATTTTTTTTACTTTTATTTTTCTCCATTGAATTAGATTTTTTAGGTTCTGAAACCTGTAATTTTCTGAAACCTAATATCTTCAAGAACTGAACAAAATTTGCATGTGTCATGCAAAAATTCTACTGTTGTCAATTTTCCCGTTTGTCCGTCACAGTGTCACTTTAAAACATTTATTTGATGCATATCTGAAATTCTTTTGAAGCTAATGACTCAATTTACATGTACCAAAGATGCAGTATCCTGTAAAAGAGGGGAAATAACTCACAGTGTTTATATTCTTGCTCTCAGTTACTTCAAGAAACAGTGAATTATTCAAATTGAAAGGGCATTACACAAATGTTGAAGACACAAATTAAAACACAAGCACTTACCGTATATACTCGCCTATAAGTCGGTTTTTTTGGAGTTAAACTTTGGTCCAAAATTCTTTATCCGACTTATACGCGAGTCATAAAAAGATTGCTATTTTAGCAGGTCAATCCCTCCAATTTAAGCTTAAAAAATACAACCAACTTATAGGCGGACCGACTTATAGGCGAGTATATACGGTAGCTGCCAAAGGAAGACTAGGCAAATTTTACTACTGCTTATTAAAAACCTCTATACAATAGCTAAAAAGCAAATCTATAGTCATTTGGTCACTTACATCCCTTTGGTTCCCTCATTTTCTAATTTGAATTGGTAAATGTTTCACAGATAGATCCTGCTGATGTTGTGGGACCTCCCAAGCCTGGCCGTAAGGTGATAATCCTTGGGGACACCTGTAACTCCTCAGAGATCTACACTGTGGGGATGGATGCCGATGTTATCATACATGAAGCCACTCTACAGAACTCTCTAAAGGACATGGCTCTGGAGAAGGGTCACTCTACCCCAGGTAAATATTTTATTGCATATAGGCGTGTGAAGAAGTCACTTTTATTACACTCCAATCAAGAAATCTTATCAATTTGATATGTGTCACTGAAAAATGTTTTTCATTCTCCTTGCAGTAAATTAAGTAAGTTTGATTATGATATCTGTTATTGGAATAAGTATCAAATATACAGTTAAGAATGCATAATTTGAAGACTAAAGAGATGCATGATAAATTTTTAAAAATCCAAGTCTAAAGAGAATATGCAAAGACAATGTACAGTGTACATGTGGTATAAAAAAAAATTGACAGAAATGGCAGCTGAGGTGGCAAAGGACTTGAATGCCCGATTGCTTGTTTTGACCCACTTCAGCCAGAGATACATGCCAGTGTCGGACGAATACGAGGTATAGTGCATGTATATGATAAAAAACAAAAAGAAATGTATTTTTACTTCATTTATAGTATTCAGATAATAAAATTTGATAAAAACACATCCTTTATTCAATGATATTCCTTGAGTTTTATGACATTACTGTTAACATTAGAAATTCATATTGAGCTTATTTGCTTAGAATTTGTTTAATTTACCAAACCTTGCACGCAAATCTATTACTATTAAGGTTTTTTTTTGTTCTTTTTGTTTGGTAAGGAGGAAGAATCTGTATCCATTCTGCTTAAAGAAGCAGAGGAAATCATGGGAGCAGAGCGTGTAATAGCAGCTGAGGATTTCCTCTCCATTACAGTTCCAATACGTCAGTCCCCAACCAAAGACAAAGCTGAGGATAGTGTGCCTAACCTAGCAATATTTAAACAGTCTTCAGCTCTCAAGCGAGATCATGCTGAAAATCTAGAAAATGAAAAGAACTTTCTGAGAGAAAATGGAAAAGAATGCGAAAGAACTTATACAGAAGAATCAAGGGTCAAAAGATTAAAAATAGAAGAGACCACATAGTGATATTAAAGGAATATTTGTTTGTATCTGAATTGATATGATTTGTAGTTAAAAACATTTTTTTTTTCAATATGAATATAGGACTACAAATAATAATAACATTATTAAGAAAATATACAAGACTTTGTTCTTGAATGAGATAACTGAACTGTAAATTCACAATATTGACTAAAGTTGACTAAATATTTTTTTCTTGTTACTTGTTAAAATGTGCTATTGATCAGTAATTTTAAATTCAAGCTAATAAATTTGGGGAAAAAACATTATTTTCTTCAGCTGGTCTATTTGTGTCAAAGCTTAGATCCTACTCTTGATGTGTGTACCAAATTATTTTTTTAACAAGAATTATCGTTACATACTTAAGCATATATACACTGTAGATCACAAATTTTGGTTACACCTTATTTTAGTGAGAAAACTATTTGGTATAATAAGTGAGACAATTTTTTCAAAAATATTATTTTTTGATGTACGTACAGTGGCTGCAACGTTATTGTTGATAAACCAATCGTGTAGAATCGTTCGTGTAACGTGCGTGATCGTTCGTGTAACGTGCGAGATTGTGCGTGTATCAGACTCAATCGTTTGCGGTTTTAATCGTGCGTGATCGTGCGTTAAGAAACGTGTAAATTTTGTTTTGTAAGTTTTTATCGGAATGTTATTTGTTATACAAGCATTTCGCTTCTCTGTTTTTTTTTCAATCCAAATAAAATAAATGAAGTGCGATTTACATAATTGAAAGCAGAACGAACTAATTATCGCTTGGAAATAAGCAATATAGTAAGTCGTACAATATTGTGTCCTCGTCAAATAGCGTGATTTTTTCTGATAAACCGTACTTAGATGTTTAAGGATTTTTTCTCTGATGATAATTATGTTAACTGCTAATTATGGTCAAGATATTTTTAAAATCAATAGATCAAAAATAGATATTTTTACAAATAAATAAATAAACAATTCTCAATGCTTACATAAATATATAGTCGGCGAATGTACATGTACACGATATGATTGTCGGGGTTTCCTTTATCAGTGTTTATCTCTGGAGCTTACTTTTAATTATTTTTTTTATAATTTCTGCAAATAAATGATTTGTAAAATAATTGTTAATTTTAGAGATTTACAAATGAAAATATGTATATAACTTATAAATTAATCCATTTTAATGCCTTTTTTTTTTTTCAAACTTATCCCTTTCTGCATATTGTGAAATCCAATTCAATCTTAAATAATTAATAAGTCTTACATGAATTTAGTTCTAGAAATATCCATTTCTACTTTTTTTCATTTTTCAAAGTCGATCAAATAATATCAATAATTATTTGAAATCTAAACTAAGTATTTTTTTTTTTATTTTTTTTTTATTGCCCCAGCGATATATAAGATTCATGGATGGCGCCAAGGTTGGAGAGCCCTGGATTCACCAAACTTACAAGCATAAAATATAGCCAATAGTAATGATGACAGTCACATGGCACTATAGTAAATAAACTACCACATATAATGCACTACTAATATAAACACTGTATATTTTAATATTCAACCAGGACAATTTTTCATTGAAAAAAAAAATATGTAAACAAATCCTTTCACACCCCATGCATCCAATATGTGTTTGTATTTACCAGAAAAGTTATCAAAATAATGAATCACATAGTAATTTTAAACAAGTACAATTTTAACCAACATTAGAAAACAGTGAAGAAAAAAGACCTCATCTCTTTTCAAATAAAGCCAATTCATTATTCTTTTTATACATAAATTTTTTCAATTTTATAATAATGATTGATTTCCTTTTTTGCTCCTTCTATGGTTGGTAGTGACTTACAAATTCTTTTCTTATAAATATGCCTTTTTACTATACATATTAAAAGATTCAAAATAATATGATATTTACCTTCTCTACCAAATATAACATCAATTATGTTTATTTCAGTATTGTGCTCTGTTTTATAATTGATCCATTCTACTAGTTTACTCCATAATATATCAACATATAAACATTCCCAAAACAAGTGGGTTATAGACTCAGGAATAAAAGTAAACTAAGTATTAACTGAAGCCTTATTTCGTTTTGAAAATATCCATTCCTAAAGAATTTGAACTATTTTGCGTGAAGAATCGTGCGTTTGCGTTAGCAATCGTGTAAGATCGTGTAATGTGTAGAATCGTGTGCGTGAAGGATCGTTCGTGTAATAGATTTTATCGTGCGTTAATCGTGCGGAATCGTTCGTGTAACGTGATCGTTCGTGTAAGTTGTCAACAATAACGTTGCAGCCACTGTGATTTTTATGATAAGATTAAGAATGAAATTTTGGTGAGCAAAGGGTCTAACATAATTATGGGAAAATAAAGTTCTTGTGAGTAAAAATGATTTACAATAATCGGGGAGAAATACATGGGACTTTCATACATCTTTTGAAATCATGCATAAATTAATTTTTTGATTGGTTTTGTTGTTTCAAAAAATCGTATAATTAAGAGTTATCGCAAGTATTTATTGTTTTGATAATAAGTACACTTTAACTGGTCAATAATTTAGCTGAAATTAGACATGTTTAAATGTTTTAAAGTTATAGTTTTAGCGTCTTGAGAAGAAATGACAAGCCATAGTATTTGATAAATTTTATATAGATAAAACATGTGGTAAAAATAAATAATCTTAATACAGATTCATGCAGTACAGCTATTTCTGCTGAGTGAACATATCGAGAAATACCTTGTGTCTGATAGTAGCCTGATTTTTATATCGAGAGTACAAGCAGTTTGAAACTAAGATTAGAAATATTAGATAATCTGACATGAGAAAAATTATTTTAAAAAGTACTCAAGTATCACTGGACTAAAGCCCCCAACTGTTACATTAAGCCATCCTAGTGAAATTGACATCTCTGTTTCTCAATGAGACTTTCATAAATAATAGGAATTATATATTTGCTTCTTTCACAATAAGGCATAAATTACGATCGACTTTTTCCCAAAATGATAATTTCTATGGGATTAAACTTTTCACCATATTTGCAAAAATAATCAAATGAGATTGTTGGTTGTCAGATATTACAAAAATGTCCACATGTAAAATATGTATAATCTGAATGCTCTCTATCTTCGCTAGCCAGGGTTTCTGATCCACTTCTTGTCTCATAATTTTTTTGTGAGGAGAGTAGCGGATCAGAAACTCTTGGCTGAAAGATGAATGCTCTTAAGATTGAACTTTTTTTTGGAATAGGGAAAAAAACCTGTAAAATATGATTCTAACAAATTTCAAAGGACCACAAAAAAGTATTCAAATCTTTTTCTTTGAGTAACACATATGCTTTACTTTAAATACTCAAGGATTTGTTTGATTCATTAAATATGAAAGTTATCCTTCACTACAAAGTAATTTAGGAATGAAGTTAAATCTTTGGGAAAAAAGTATCCCTATTACGTCAAAGGCGTGGTGATTGCATGTGCGCTTTGAAGATCAACGACAGTGACGTATAACTCTCTCATTTTGTCCCACCCAAAAAATGAAGTATAAAGAACTATTATTTAGATAAATAGCAGTATTTGTCTATTAGATTTGTTAAAACTGTGGATATTTTTATGATATTTAGCTACTTTGAAAATGAAAATTTGTTATTTTTTTTTATTTATTCGAATATTCCTGATGATAAATAATAATGAAGAATTCTTTAGAATTTTCAGGGGTTTCCCAAAAACTTCATTATAATTGTAAATTCGATGAATATGTACTTGAATTTGTTTTTAAAAGGTTAAATTATAATTGTTAATTCAGTAAGAGGCTTCAATTTGCTTTAATTACAGTAACTCATACTTTAATTTTGAGGATCGTAAATGAATTTCGTAATTATTCGTAAATAATTATTTTGTTTACAACTTGCAGTTTGTTCAGTAGAAATGGAAAACAAAGACTACTACTTTTATATTTCTAACATAATGAAACACTTTGCCTTCGAACTCAAAATTTGAAAGTGATTTCTGGGAGAAAAAAAATTGAAAGTGATTTCTTAACATTAAACTCGACAGTTTCCTTTTCGAAAACATTATTAACATATGTATTAATACATGCCATTTCCAACATAAAGGGCGAGTTATTATGCTCGACAGCCATATGCATTTTCACAATGTTAAGTTTTGTGATTTCGTTCCTCTACACTTGTAATGGTTTGAGTCATGGATATCGACCAGGATAGCTCATTGGTTCAGGCCCGTAGGAAGCAATTTCACTTTGAGGGGGCACAAACATACATTTTCAGTTGGGGAGGGGGCACTATCAACTACCGAAATTCCTTTGACAAGCAAAAAAAAAAAAGGTCATAAGACGTTATTATTGAGGGGGCACAAGCATATAGTAGCTATGTTTTCTATAGTATTCTATATATCGGCAAAATTATTGCAAGGGGGGGGGGGGCACGGCCATGTGGTTATAGACTAAGTGATGCAGGTGTCCCGTGCTCGATTCCCGGTCTAGTCATACATTTTCTCCTTTCCTGTTACATTATCTAACTGCATGGTTCCCGTTTCAATTTTGGTGCCGTTAATCACACCTGGATTGGCAGCTATTAGTCCTGCCTGGCAAAAAACAAAAACAAAAAAACTTGGGTTGTATCTTCGAGGGCGAAGACAATTTAAGGAGAGAGGAATGTAACGCTTTGGGCCGTGGATATTGGCCTTGATAGCTCAGTGGTTAGAGCACCTGAGTAGTATGGTCCCGGTTTCGATTCCCGGTCCAGCCATAATTTTCTCCTTTCCTGTGTACACGAAAACTTTGCATTGTGAAAATGTCTGTACATAATAAAGTATAAACTTCTACATATAATGATAAAAGCACCTCAAATTATCTCGAACTCGATGGGGCCGAGAAAAAACTTCCAGATATTTGAAGATTCGAGATATCCGTGTTCGAGATACCGAAGTTCAGTTGTAAATGTTTTAAGTTCCTCATAAAATTAACAGCGAGTACGGATTACGGTATGGAATGTAAGAGGCATAGAATATGAAATGAAAAAAAAAAGACTTTATAAAAATGTATAACATTTAACCAGTAGTATTCCATGGAAATTAGAAGACACGAAAAATTAGGTCCAAAATTTCCATTTGGTAGGAAAGTAAAATAAAGCCTACATGTGTAATTTGGTAAAAACAAAAAAACAAAAAAGATTATATTTGATTATGATATTCTTATTTAAATTAAAACAACAACAACAAGACTAAAAAGTACAGCATGTTCAGTTATATAATATTTACCATGAACTTCAGTGATTCCTTGAAGATCTTTTTTCTCGGTATTAAATATGGGTCAAAGCTTGTAAAAGTACATCGTACCATCCTGACAAAACTGTGACGTGAAATTGTAATATTTACGGCAGTCACGTTACATCTTTTAACACCTCAGATTTTTGTTGGTAATTATTTAGACATTTAGTTTAAATGTGTACTTTTAGTTGGCAATCTGTGTGAGATTTTATTCTTGCAAATCCAAAGGCAATTTTACACTAAACTTTTATTAAACCAGCTTCATGCTACTACTACGAGGAATTCATCATCACGTTTTTATTCTGTTAAAAAAAAAAATATTGAAAAAGATCCGCGGAAGATTTTAAAAAGCGACTTTTTTTTATATCCGCACTTTTCGAAAAAAAAAGTTCGGGTAAATTGTTGTTAACCTGGTCCGTCCGACTGTGTGTCACACTATCTTCTTTCTCAAACTCCTCTTACATTTCAAGCAGTAGCTCACTCATCTTTTGGAATATGATTAGTAGTTGCCTTGAACATGCGCAAAAATATTTTGAAATTTTTATTCTTACCCTGGGCCAAAATGGGGTAAAAAAAGAGAGCATTTTTTGAAACAAAAACCTGGTTCCCCGAACTCCTCTTACATCCTCCTTACATTTTTTGCAGTAGCCCATTCAAATTTAGGAATATGATGAGGAGTGTCCTGTATAGATGTGCAAGAAGGTCTCGGAATTTTAGAGGAGTTCAGGGAACCAGGTTTTTAGCTCTTCTGAGCCAAAGGCTATGCTATGCTATGGCTATTTGTGCGGTGTGCGTAAACTTTTTGGAAAATTTGCCATATCTCAGGAACCCCTTAGTCAATTTTTTTTCAAATTTGTTTCAGAGTATCCTTGGCTTTCATGTATACTAAAACTAGAGATGTGTGCCTTAAAGAAGGGGAGATAATTAGGGAAATAAAAACAAAAGTACAGGTTGCTAAAAAATCTTCTTCTCAAGAACCACTGGGCAGATTATCACCAAACGAACACACAAGGATGAGGATATGTTGTAGATTAAAATTTGCATGGGGAATCGCCCTGGGGCAAAAGGCATGGTCTCAAGGTCACTTCAAAATTGACCAAAATTTACGTTTTGTTTAATACTTTATATTTTACCCACTATAAGGCCTAGGATCATCAAATCTTGTCAGTTGATGCATCTTCGGACCTCATATCATGTTGACTCAAAAGTAGATCACGGTAACCTACTTTTTTGAATTTTGCAGGTATTCGTTTTCATTTTAATTTTGATGCATAACTTGGATACTTTGAAGGCTATGATCATCAAAACTTTTCAGTTTATGCACTATGGGACCTTGAAGTGTGTCAACCAAAAAGTAGGTCACCGTGACCTACTTTCTGAATTTTATGGCTTATCATTTTCTAAACATTAAAGGTCATTATTTCAGATACTAAGAGGTTTAGAATCATTAAACCTTGTAAGTTGATGCGCTTAGGGGCCTTAAAACAGATTTTCAAAAAGTAGGTCACAGTGATCTACTTTTGTAATTTTACAGGTATTCCTTTTCAAATTGTTTTAGGGGCACATTTTGGACACTTTGAAGCATAGGATCATCAAACTTTGTCAGTTGATGCATCTTGAGTCCTCGGAGTGTGTCAACCAAAATGTAGGTCACCCTTGACCTACTTTTGCAATTTCATGGCTTAATTTAAATATTTCGTATACTAATTGGCTTAGAATCATCAAACTTTGTCAGTTGATGCATCTTGAGTCCTCAAAGTGTGTCTACCAAAAAATAGGTCACCGTCACCTACATTTGGAATTGGATGGCTTTTTCGGTTACAAATTGGCTTAGAATCATCAAACTTTGTCAGTTGATGCATCTTAGGTCCTCAAAGTGTGTCAACCAAAAAGTAGGTCACGGTGACATACTTCTGGAATTTGATGGCTTTTCCGTTACTAATTGGCTTAGAATCATCAAACTTTGTCAGTTTTTACGAAAAATGTAAGAGGAATTTGGGGAACCAGGTTTTTGTAGAAAAACACAGGGTTTTTCGTTGTTTTTTTAAAACCCTTTTGGCCCCCAGGGTGAAAATGAAAATTTTTACATTTTTTGCTCGTGTTCAAGGCACCAGCAATGATATTCCAAAAGATGAGTTGTCTACTGCTTAAAATGTAAGAGGAATTTGGGGAAGTAGAAAGTGTGACAGACGGACGACGGACGAACAAGGATATACCCAAACTTTTTTTTAGAAAGTGCGGTATTAAAAAAAAACAACTCCTCTTTCATTTTACGCAGTAGGCATTTCATCTTTTGCAAGATTAATGGGAGTGTCATGCAGATATGCAAGAAAATTTTGGAATTTTCATTTTCATCCTAGGGGTCAAATGGGGGTCGAAAAAATATTGTTTTTCATTTTATCAAAAAAAGGGGTTCCCTGATTTCCTCATACATTTCACACAGTAGCTTCTTTGCTACCCAGGTACAAAGGAGCAAGCGTACATATACAGGCAAACACTTACGTGCGGGTATTACTGTCTCTGACAGCATGTAGAATTGTTTGTTTGTTTTTTTAAATGAACACTCAGTCTCTACGTGTATTTTGAAACATTCCTTATGTCCATTCTATTACACATAAAGATACATCATTTACACTGTGGCCTTTTTGGTCTCAAAATAAAGATACATGTATCTGTATACTCTTTGGTGTGTGCATGCTATTTCATAGACGAATAATTTCAATACTTGTGAAATTGTTGCAAATTGTGGAGATTTTACATAAAATATGCATTAATGTTAACTGAAATATCAAAGATAAATTTTGTTATAATTAATTTAACTTTTCACTTTCTTATTTGTTCAACTATGGACATTTTCCTCGGTTAATTCATCCATCTTTGTATTGTACACATGTTCAACATATAGAGAATATTTACGATAATTCATTCAGAATAATAGTGGATTTCATTTTTTAAAAAACTATTCTTGAATTAGGGTTTTGCTCACGCACTTTTTTTTTATTTTCAAAGCAAGGAGAAAAAAAAGGTTGATAGCCAACAAATATTTAATTTGGCTTAAGGTTTAATGATACTGTGACAAGAGAGATAACTCGCGCTGGGATAAATGAGTTTTATTCTTTTTTAAAATTGTCAAGTTAACAAGTCTTTCTCGTCAATTTTGCCCTGTAAGGTATGCTGATGTGGTGTGTATTTTAATTATAATATTTACATGCACTGAATATGATAGCCTTCATTTCTAATTAAAACCGTGGTTGTTTATCAATACTTTAACGCCGCCAATTAAGCCACCTGTATAGATTTTTTGAGCAATGACTCTTTCATCAATTAAACATACATTGACGTACATATCAATAATACAATATTGATCATACTTTTAAAAACCTAATCATATGGTTATTTATATAGGCATAAATATGAACCATAGCATGTCTTTCTTTCTTTATTAGTATGAGAATTAACGTTGCAGCTTTTGAAAAAAAAAATACATAACATGCTATGCGGGTTATGTATTTTTCTGCAATATTAAGGTTCATAAACCCTATGCTCACTCATATAAAATGTTTCTTTAACTCTTATGATTTTTCAAAAGAAATGTATTTGTTAAGTCAAATACAAGCAATTATAGCAAAATTGGACAAAAAAGACACCTCGACTTGACAAATTTTTAAAGGAATAATAGATATTTATTTTAAGAGCTATCTCTCTTATCAGAGTATCGATGAACTTTAATTCCTATTCTAACAAACAAAGAACGCATTTTATTGTTTAAATTATATTGCTTTTGGAAAATCATATGTGTAAAAGAAAAATTCGTATGAGAGGTCAGAGGGATGATGAACCGTAACATTAAAGCACAACTATCTTAAAAACATAACATGAAATGTTCTTATATAATTTTAATGGAAAGAAATGTATATACATCCATATAAGAAATATGTTTCGCATAAACATCATGGAATTCTATTTAGAAATTCTATTTGACTTGTGAGTCAGTACTGTGATATGGCATAAATCTTTTTCTAAGATGTAAAAATACTTTATGATATCGTTTCACATGTTCAAACATTTTAAGTGCAGGAAACAATGTTGTTAAACTTCTCTCGTGTTTTACAACGGGAATGATTTGATCTAATATCAAAATGAGTTGGAATTACATTCTTCAAAAAAAGTTGCAATTATTTAACAATAATAAGAGTTAATATCTGCTGATAGGAAGATATGAAAGAAATAAGCAATAAACACGGCTTTTACTTTTGGGTTTTAATTTTCCCTGTGTATAGTATATTTCTGTGATGATTAAGATATATGTATTCAGTTTGACACCTCACAGTGCATATTTCGTTGTTTCATTTGGACTCCTCTTTCTCTAAGTCGCACAACTCAACTTGAAAAGCTGTTGGGTCAGATGATGTTGGGGTACTAGAAAGATAAAAAAGCATCTTTAGTGGTAGAGAAGTGGAAAAAATAGAATCGAGGAGATACATGTACTTTAATATTATCAGTTAAACTACTGCATCTACAGATTATTCATATCATTTAAAATGATCAAATTATATTTTTTTGGGGGGGGGGGCTGCAAAATACATCTTATAATATCAAAATTGAAACAATAAAAATTTGACATATATAATGATCTAGAAATGAAAATAATTAACCTGGTCAGGTTTCGTAGTGCACGGTTGACATACATAATGTCAAACCCGTCCCTAAATGAAAACGTCTTCGCTGAAGTTTGGCAATGAATTAGTCTGTACCCTATGTGTGAAAAAATAATAATAAAATTAGCATTCTCTTATACTAATTAATATGAAATAAAGCTCTTTTTTTCTCTGTGTTTGTGCTTCTTTTTATTAATCTATTTTTAGTATTTTTTTTATTTTATTTTATTTATTTTATTTTTCTTTAGTAAAATATTAATCAAAATAATGAATTTCAGCTCTGCGATTGATTGATTTATTTATTTTTGTTTTTTGTTTCTTTGGTTTTTTTTTTCCTCCAATGCATGTTAAGTATATACCATAAACTCAAACAGATCAAATGAAATAGTAATAGGAATCTTTGAAAGCAAACCAAGCAGTGGATTGATAATATCACAGTTTTCCGCAGGGAATGTTAAAGAGGCAATTTTAACACTACGCATGTGACAGGAGTGTTCTTTGGAAGAACAACACACATGCTACACAACGTGTTTGTTTATCAATCGGTTCCAGCTAAATGGTGAATAAATTCCCCCACCCTCAAGTAATAATAAGTAAACCTACCAGACTTTCTACAGCATTGAGCCTTTTGGCCCGCAAGTCCACCTTGCAGGTGAAATTCTTCACCACAGTTGAATTCTCCAGAGGCACCTATGGTACACGTAAACAAACATGTTTTTTATTACAGTGTATTTCAATTTGTTTACTTCCTTTTTTCTGTAGATCTTTAAGGTGGTAACATAATTCTAAAGAAATAATATTCATAATGGAAAAATAGAAATTAACTGCGTGAAATTCAATAATGCCGTTTTTTCTAGAATTTTGATTTAATTTGCTGTGCGGCATTAAAATTGTAGTTGATGTAAAATCTCAAAAGTTGGTACCATCATAATTTGAAGATAATTAAAAATAACCACCAGAAAAAGGTTTTTTCTATCATTCGATAAAACTCTTATTTAGGCAGTTTCTTTGTAAACTAATACCTATGATAAGATATATGATCATATTTTATTAATAACCCGCGTATTTTTTAAATTTACGAGTATTTATTTATTTTCCGTACAAACCCTTCCTGCTATACGTCAAACTCATAAACATTAAGCAAACAAAACAAACAATACTACAATCACAGGGCCCCGTTAACATACAGTGCTTGATTTTTTTCGTGATCTTTATATATATATATATATATATATATATATATATATATATATATATATATATATATATATATATATATATATATATATATATATATACTAGAATTTTCGAGAATTGGTCCCGGAAAATTAGGCAAAACATCTCGAAAATTATCAAAGCATAGACAATCTAACATACATGTACTGCATATATACGGATAATAACTTCTTGTGCTGAGTGAAATTCCAATATTTCAGCGTTTTTTTTTTCTGGTTCGAAATGGTACAATATAGATGGACCCGACAGAAGGTAGATTCAACAAAAACTACCATAATCTTTTATACTCCAAGAATGACATTATAATTAGATCAACGTCATGACGTATTTTCAAAAAAAAAATTATTAGATATTGCAGTCACTCTTTTATGTGGATTACAATCATTACGAGCTTTATAAAAGTTTTGTGTCTAAAGTTCAACTTTTGCATTACAGTGATTATAAATCGATTAATCGAGATCACGGTACATAACCTAATGAAGATAATTATCATATTAATAAAGCATCTTTATTTAATTTTTTATGTTAATTGCTACATTACTAAAACATAAAAGACATGGCAGTATCAAAATTTTTTACAATAATCTGTTTTACATTTGTAGTTCCAATATCGAGCTTAAACAATTAGTTTAATTCTATCAAACCACTAAAAATGAAAATATTGAGAATTATCCGATTTGAGTTCGATTCTAACCCTTGTATCCTCCACCTGCCACATCCACCTCTGTTTCAATGAATTCATTTTTAATTTTTTTTTTTAAACAAAATTGAAATACTTATAAACTGACTTATTTCTCTGCATTCCTCGTTAACATGCCCCGTCATAAAACAGTAGTGAACGGCTTCATTTTGCCATGGGTCCTTACGGAATCCAAAATTCTGCTGATCAGGTTGGCAAAGCCGTCTGAAATCGACCAAAGCGCCATCATTCCAAGCAATCATAAGGAATATCACCAAAAGTGTGACGCCTGTTTCTGTAGTGATCTGCTCAAAATTACATTTAAGAAATACACTGTAGCTACATATTTTCCGTGAAAAGATGCGTGAATATATCATCATCACTGGAACTTGGGGGGGGGGGGGCACTACCAAATTCAAAAATTCCTTGACAAGCAAAAAGAAAAAAAAAAAAAAAAAAAAAAAGGTTATCAAATTTTATTATTGAGGGGGCAGAAGCATATAGTAGCTTTGTTTTTTATAGTATTCTATATATCGGCAAAATTTTTGGGGGCACGTCTCTCCCCCCCCCCCCTCTCCGGTTCCTACTGCTATGTGATGAAAGAAAACTTGCATTCTTTATGTTTCAGACAGCTAGGCCTTTACATGTATCAGTGTTCTCTCTTTTTACTATATTGTTAATTTTGAATTTATAACGAATGAATTTACAGTTTACATCTTAAACACTTACACTTCATATTCAATAACGTCTAATAAATTCAAAATCTATACAATATGGCACTTTGTTATAACTTTCATGCAGATTTCACAATAAGGTCAGTATAAACAGGGTCTTGAAACAATCCAAGCCAAAACTGGTACATGTATAGAGTTTAATTCAAAACAAGTTTTTGCTTAGATTGTTTCACGACCCTCTGGGTCAGTATGATTTCAAATTTTTAAAAGAAAGCACCCGAAGTGAGATTATTCGTTATATATATTTTATGTGAAGCAATTATAGTGGATAAAGAAATAGAATTAGTTTTTAGATAATAATTTTCTTCTTTCAAATTTGGAATAATATACATGTATATATATACTTTTCCTCAAGATACCTAAACTTAACTTTTTTGGAAGCAGAAATAGATATAAATGTAATATAATAATTATTATTATTATTAAGTATTTTTCCTTTTATTGTACTTATAATTTTTTTTAAAATGTTCTAATCTAGCTGCTTCATGAATTAATCTTAAAAATATATATTTATTCACTTTTTTAAAAAGTAATACTGGATGATATAAAAAAAAAAATTACCTTCATCTTCAACACTTCTCGCCTTGAAGCAGCTTCTATGAATGAATTTTGTATCTTTGCTTGAATTTCAAATGGCTCCTTATCTGATCTCAAATTGTATAAATGTAGACTCTAGTATCCACCCACTGAGAAACACAGCGATCTGATTGGCTGACTGTCCGTACGGATGTCGTGATATGACATCTTTACTATATCATCGTCACTTTTTCCAATGCCGATGTATTTTTAGATTTATCAATAAATTTGACATGTTTTTTTTGTTTGTGTGTCAGTAGATCGAATTAAAGGAATCCTTATAATGCCTGAAATCTGTGTACTTCAATGTAAGAGTGCAAAATTATTTCTTCTACATAAGTTCGATCTTGTGCAACTCTTTGTTTGATTGATTTGGTTTCCTCTAATTAATGACCCCAGCTACAGCATTTACGAAAGATCAGACCTTGTTTCGTGATGCTGATGATGAGAACGCGGAAAAGTTGTGTGTGTGTGGGGGGGGGGGGGGGGGGAGGATATTTCGATCTGTGTATTAAATCATGTATATATTGAGGGAGAGTGAGAATTATATGAGAAGACCTGTCATTTTCTTTTTCAAATGTTAATTTACATCTTAACGGCGATTTCTTAAATTGATTGGTATATGAAATACCCTAGTAAGATGTATCTGTGCATGCTTATTAGGCGATCGTATTTCACTTTAAGGATAAATTTTAAGTGATATGATGCATCTAGAAAACGAAGTGTCAGTGACGTTTATACGTATGCGTACTTTAAGATTAACTGGGATGTAATCTTTCAAGATATCCTTGGAGTTCTTGTATCACGTCCCTCATCTAAATTATAGCATCAACTGAGAGTTTTAAAAGTACAAATCACCATTGGGGCAGAAATCGGGCGTGAAATTATCATTTCTGTCAGTTATGCAACATACATCTAAATCCTTTTTTTTTATTCTGTAATTATTCAGCAATCCAATTTGCACTTTTAAGAATTCCTCGTGCGATTTTTGTAAGAAATGTAGATATTCATTCCATTGAATATTGATAATACCTCCTATATACTGGTCCAAATTTCCCCAATACTGTGAATTAATGAAATTTTATAAATCGTGTTTTCTTTGGAAAAGGATATGGGTGAACAAGGCGCGCAGAATGCCTAAAGCTTCAGATATATGAAAAATCATAATCATTTTGTGAATATAGTATTTAGAGTAAAGTTCTCATTATCGAAATTAATGAAATTATGATTTAAAAAATTTTCTGAGGAAAATTCTATCGGCAAAAATTATTCTGTCATTAAAAAAATAATGTGGTATTCGTGGGATTCGAACCCTAGCAATAAAAATCCTGAGTATCTTTTCCTTTAAGACTAACACGCTAACGACTACGCTACACATCTCTTGAAGAATTGTGGCATTTAAATAATGTTTGTGATATGACCCTTTACAAAATGGACTTCAAGTATTTCTCGGAAAGATGCGAATGTTGTGTCATAAAAGTGTATTTTTAAGGTATAGTGGGTCTTTGCTCCATGTTTTTGTTGACCAAAAAAATGTATAATTTTTGGCAAACTTTGAGGATAAACTTTGAAAAATATGGAGGGAAGACCCACTCATATCGAAAAGTCGTGTTTTAGCATGAGAAAATGATCCTTTTTGCACCCTCTAGAGTGTATATGCAATTTCATAGGCAAGTAATTTAAGTCTTAGTCAGATTATTGCAAATTGTGGAGATTTTACATAAAGTATACTTTAATTTTAGATGAAATATCAAAGAAAATTTTGTTATAATTGAGATTTAATTTTTCATCTTCATGTTTGTTGCACTATAGGCATTGTGCTCGCCTTGTTCGCCCATCTTCTTTGAAAAATAAATTTTTGATGTGCACTTCTGTTGTGGTTGTTTTATGAATCCGTATTGAAAATAAAAAATAAAAAATGTACTATTATGTGCAACTAATTGAAATTTCAGTTGCCTCTGAATAAGACTTCTTGGGGAAAAAACCAAACTGGTAAAATATTACTTTACATGTATTACTACAAAGTAACAGTAAAGGCAACAACTATTGTATAGTTCATAAACTTGACTAAAATGCCAACCCAGTGAAAGGTATTAGGAAATACATTAACCAAGGAAAAGGTACATGTACTGTTACAACGCAAAATATAATAAAGACGCAAAATGTAGAAAATAGAGATTATTACATTTTGCATTACTACATTTTGCGTCGAAGTCAACGCAAAATGTAATAACGCAAACTGTAACAATGCACTCAGCCGAACCTTATCAAAGCAATAGACAGCTTACATTTATGAACTGGCCTTCCTAGGCATGCTGAGGATACGAAAAAGGGAAACTCGGTGCCAAAAATATATCATCTGTATATAAGAAGTAAAGTTATACGGTTTACACTGTCGCTAATTTGATATAGCTGTCGGATCCTCAGATTTTGATTAATTAAAGTGATAATCAATTTTCTACATTTTTAACAGTATAATTCTAGTCGCACTGCAAATGTTGCAGAAATAAATCATGTTACTTAGCAGTTTCACGTTTAATTTAGGCTGCACTATCTAAATTATCAGAAAGCTGGTCTCCCTAGATACATATACATCCCACAAAAGGCGAAATAAATCTTCAAAATTCCCGTACGTCGGATTTTGTTCCTTCAATATCTTGAGAACCTTGAGAGCAAATACATTTATCAGCTTTTAAAAAATCTATAAAAATTAGGTTTTGTTTCAGTTGTCTTGCTTTCCGCAGTTAATCGGCAGTGTTTCTTACATTCTTAAAGTACACGACGGGGAACTTTGGGTTAGGCGATTGATATTGGTTAATGCTTATCGTCCCTTATATTTAAACCTCCCTTGCACTTCGGTGACAAGAAGAATTTGACTCCTTGTAAGAAATAAAAACACAACTAAAAGTACAACGACAATAAATATGTACTTTAGCTAACTAGAATTTCAATACTTACAATCTCTTCATTCAAATCTAATTCACCTTTAAGTAAAGGTCATCAATTTGACAGGGTGTTATAAATATTTGAAGTTATTCACATTTCTTGATGTATGTTCATTGTAATACTAAGGTTGAAAATCTTTCACACAAAACGCACTTTTATCTTCTGAAGCTAAATTCCATAACATTGAATTAGATGGTACAGCTTGACGGAAAGAACGGGACGTAGTCAATTTCTTTTGAAATCAAATTAATTGGTGTTAATTTTACTCCTTTCCCCCCAAAACAATGGGCACAACTCAATTTAGCCACACTTCTCTGACAAATGAGCAATTGCCAGGAATGGTTTATGCATATTAATGTTTGCATTAGACAAAAACATTTCCATGGCCATAGGAACGGGGGGAGGATGCCAACCCCTACCCCCAATAATTTTGCCAATATATACATGTAGTATACTATAGAAAACATTGCTACTTTATGCTTATGCCCCCTCAATAATAACGTCTCTCTCTCTCTCTCTCTTTTAGGGGGATTGCTTGTCAAGGAATTTTTGCTTGGTAACCCCCCCCCCCCCCACACACACACACAACTGAAGGATGGGGATGTTTGCAAAATAACAAACCGTCCATCCCACTTTTTTTTCAAATCAGTGAACGACAGATCAAGGGGTCATGATTTTGGCAGACATGAATCTATAATACAGTAAAACCTGTCTTATCTGACATCTGTATAATCGTTTTCCCTGTGAATTCTGACCTTTATTAACCCCCCCCCTCGAAAAGCAGGGGGGAATATAATGATGGGGATTTTCATCCGCATGTCCATTACGCTTGGACAACTCCACCTATACCACGGAATAAAATTTAGCAAGACTTTCACAGAATCTTTTTTACATTGTCTCATTACGCACCTCCTACTTTGTGTTTTGATCAGACACATATTTGGGATTTCCAATAGCAAAACATGGGCTCTGCCATTATACTCATATGGTAGTGTGCCGGGGGAGGGGGGGGGTATTATTTTGTGAACTAAGTGCTCACAGTACCTCTTCCACTGTGCATTCCAACATCCTGTCCATTCCTACCTGGGTGCCTGCCAGATCAGACAGGTTTCACTGAATATATGAAAAGATTTGTTATGGTTTTTCTGGGCAATGTGGTCCTAAAGAAGATTTTTAAATAATCCCATCCTATTTATGCCCCGCCATGAATATGGCTGGGCCATATAGTGTTTAATGTCATGTCCGTCTTTCCATCTGTCCTTCCGTCACACTTTGCGTTTAGCTCGGTTCAAAGCCCAGTTTCAAAGAAACTATCCAAGATATTTTTTATCAAACTTCATATGCTGATAGATTTTAATGAGAGCTATGCAACTGCATCAACATTTTTTGACCTTGACCTTTCCTTTGACCTTGCTTTTCTTAAATTAGTGTTTAGCTCAGTTTAAAAGATACCATTCAAGATAGTGTAATCAAACTTCATATATTGATACATACTGACGCAAGCTACTCAACTGCATCAACATTTTGACCTTGACCTTTCCTTTGACCTTGCTTTTCTTAAATTAGTGTTTAGCTCAGTTTTAAAGAAACCATTCAAGATATTTTTATCAAACTTCATATGCTGATACATACTGATGTAAGCTATCCAACTGCATCACATTTTGACCTTGGCCTCTCATTTGACTTTGACCTCACTTTTCTCAATTTGTGTTTAATTTAGTTTTAAAGAAACCATTCATAATATTTTTTATCAAACTTCATGTGCTAATACATACTGATATAAGCTTTTCAACTGCATCAACATTTTCAGTGGAATTTTCTTTAAGAAAACATAGAGCGCATGCATCGCCCACAAAGATTTTGAGATATGATATTTTTCAAAGCATTTTACATAATATATCTAAAAATTGAAGTGGGCGAGGGCTGCAGACACTATTTTCTAAAGGAAAGTAAGCACAGAAATGAGTCATTTTGAGGCTTTTCTGCATAAAACTAAGAAATGTACCAAATTAATGATGTCATATTTCCAGAATGGTCCTCCTTCATGCCATATTCTTTAATGATTTATCATATTCATCTACTCAACTCACGTTATAGCCAATTTAATAACTTTTTAAGAACATTAAATTTTTAGGGCACAATAAAGCCTAAACCGTACCTTCTTCTTTGCATTTTGCTTAGTTTTAAAGAAACCATTTAAGAAATATTTATATAAGCTTATGCACTTCTACATAATTTGGTGAGTATCCAACTTTTTAGATTTCAATTTCAATTTTGAAGAAAATATTCTCATCAAATTTCATACATCAATACAAATTTTCATGTTGCATTACTAATATACCCTCGGCGGGGCATTCATGTCCTATGGACATATTTCTAGTTATATTATACTTTAACTATATCTTAATTATCCCGAATTGGGTCATTAGCTGTGGACATGCTCTGAGATGAACTATAAAGCATGTAATATAGTCTGGCTATCTGATGTGACAGGAAACACTGCCTATAGAAAGTTTAAAGTTGTAACCATGAGTGTGTTATTTGTAAAATGCAAATTAAAACAAAACTTTCTAGAAAATCTCATCTTTTTATATCAGACTAAACAAAATGACTTCACACCTCACTGTACAAAAAGTCACTATTTTCAAATGCCATCCAAAACAATACTATGAGTTTGGGGTTGTTTCCTTGAGGGTGTGTGTACTTGATTCACTAGACTCCTTCTTTTCTGTTTGAGAGCTCTTCTCCATTTGTTCTTCAGGAAACCAGTCCTTCAATTTTTCATATCTAAATGATCGCCTGACATTGTTTGGGTTATCGTCCACTGTGAAATACTGAAAATTCATGTATTTATCACCAATCTCTTTCCATATCTTCATTGTCTGTTGTTTGGCAGTATTGTAACAATGATCTGGGGGGAAAAAAAATGTTATCTTAAGTTTACAATGAAAGTACACAGCACAGGAATTTTAATAAGTAAATTATTTACATTGCAAAGGTATTTTATACAAGTTTTATAACATATTAATCCAAAAGATAAAACAAAGACCGACTTTTTTCATAGTATTCAATAACTATGAACATTGAACACTATACAGTTGAACTTCAGTATCTCGAACATTGATATCTCAGAAACCTTTGAAATGTTGAAGTGAGCTGGAAGTCCCAACCACTTTTTTCCTTTATGTATCTTAACCTTGATATCTTGAATCCTAGGATATGTCAAAGTTTTCTCTAAGTCCCATCAAGTTTGAGATAACAAGGTTTGACTCTAGGTATATCACAATGACATTAACAGGTAAAAGTATTCTATTCTATGACATTATTCACCATTGTTTCAAAAGAAAGAAGAAATCACTTGGCCACGTACAATGCTAACCCAAGTCACATTTCTCTGAGAGAGTGGATGCTTAAACATGTGTATATACATTTCCCGCACTTTTGACCTGGTCTTTTTAAGAAGACATTGAAGAACATTGCTATCCTATGAAGAATTTGATTCTCCTATGTGGCCCTTCCATACAAAACATGGAGATAATATAAATATCAATTTGTATTTTTTAGCTTTCGGATTCTCAAGATCAACATTGTATAAATAGTGAAAGTTTTGGAGGGTAACAGTTGAAATTGACACCCTGAAAGAAAACTATTGTCAACCAACAAGTCAGTGGAGGTTGACAATGGTTTTCTGAGGGGTGTCAATTTCAACTGTTACCCTCCAAAACATGCACCATTTATTTCATTATACTGAATGTCCAATTGATATTTTAGAAAGTTGGATATTGTTGTTGTTCCAAATCAGATCTCATTTTTGAAGGTATTTAAACACTCTGCTTACTTACTTACTTACTTAACCTCTCCGTGCCCCATGTTCACAAATATTTTTTCTTCTATTTTTTGTTTTTGCAATCAATCTCACTCAGACCAAGCTATTATTAACATCATGTTTATTTGTCTTATTTCAAACATACAACTGAGTCACGTTTTGAGAATTCTACCGCGAACTGTTCGTGCTTACATTGCACATGTTACATTATTGTTATATTGTTATGTTACCCATTGCTAAGTGTGTTGCTAATGCTAAAGGTAACATTAAAAATTAGTTAATGCTTCTAAACCAATCAGATTTCAGTATTTAACATGAAAGTATGATAATCTTAAATGACAACTCCAAATTTCCCTATATGCCGATTGTCTCCTTTCAGTATGGGTTAGAGACAGATGCTGGACACTTTAAGGTCAGAAGAGCTAATTTGAGTTTAATATGAGTAAAATGTTGAGCATACCACAAAGAAATCCACGTCTGAAGTAATTTCCACAAGTTAAACAAATCTCCCTCCGTTCTTTAAAGTTCTCCTTCAGAAAAAGTCCATAATGGCCCATCTTTCTCATCATTCGTTTTTCCTTTGACCTCCTCTTCTTTGGGACAGCTGCCCTCATGATGTTTTCAAAACAGTCCTTTAATGTCTGCCAAGATGACCCATTTTCATATTTTTCTGGTAGGTGATTCACTGTGACCAAAGCTGGTGCTAAAAGCAAAATTCAGAAGAACAAAATAAAAAAAAAACTAACCTGCTGAGTGCTGAATAGTGTAGTTCTATGGGATTACACAGGTCCAGCACAATCTCTTGATTAAGCTATATAGCTTGAAATAGCTATATAGCTTTATTAAGCTATTCAAAATAGCTTGATAAAGCTATTTATGTGCAGTTTTTAACAAAAATGTTATTTGTGCAAAATAGACAAAAAGTCGCAAGTAATTGACTATTCATATATGTACTACTAGATGAAATCCCGCGCAAGCGCGGGTAATTGAATTTATACCACTACCGACAGAAAATATATTGTAGTTTCTACTGACAGGCTACAGGCTTATAACAGGAAGAAATACTTTGTTCAAAATCCCGCATGTGCGTCTCCAACCACCCCCACCCCTTTTGTGAAAACTTGAAAAAATAACAATTTCATTAATTGATATTTATTGTGAAACCTGTTATACTATGTTATGGATATTGTACTTCATATGCTCTTATCATTTCCGTCAAGGATCAAAGCAGCGAATATGCACATATTACTGATAGTTTTTTTCGGGGGGGGGGGGGGTAAAAATTCACAGGTATTCGGGTCTTGGTTTATAAATATGTATGTACCTTTTTGATATGTAAAAAATGTAATTTATCTTTTTTACATATCAATAAGGTACATACATATCTATAAACCAAGACGCAAGTACCTGTGTAAAAATTAGCTTTCAACGCCCTATGAATAGGCCGAGTATTTGATACAAAAGACTGTATACAGAAAAAAAACTGAAATGTATCGATTAAAACACAAAATTTTACAGCTTTAATTGTATTTGAGCAATATCTTATTCATAAATTTCTCTTTTCATGTAAGCAATTTTATTACCAAGTAGAAATTGTACTTCGGGTTCGTTGTCACGATGCTCTCACAGTGAGGAATATATTACACATTTTACCAATAAATTTATTAAGGAAACCTACTACATATATGTAATATCTTTCGATATATAAATATATTCACAACTTATAGTGTTATCAATGATTTACCATTATTTCAATGACCATTCACACAATGACATCAGCTTTTTTATGTTCCTGCAGCTATAATCGTCTCCTTTTTCTTTTTAACATCGGGCTCGATGCTATATGATGTTCTAGAAGCTTCCGTCAATATTAAGATCGGTGAATGACAAAAATAATTTGTACATTTCCCTTTTTAATCGGTTATCACAACATACTTCTTTTATGTCATTTAAATCAAGTTTTGATTGAAGTTTTGATTGAATAATTCAGTGATGACGTTTTATGAAATAAGTAAACGACTGATTGTTGTCAGTTTCATTGAAAATTGCCAGTAACTTAGATCTGCCAACCGGAAACGCCACCGTACTCATGTTTTTGCTATTTCATGGCTTTTTATAGAAAATAAAAGTAGGCTTTTAATTTAATGTACGATACTTACAATGCCAGTGAAATCTAAATATAGTTTACGGACATCATATTGTATCTAGTGTATTCTTAGAGGAGTAAGTAAAAACTCTGGTGCATCGGTTTCGGAGTTTATTTGCAAAATTTATTAATTTATAAGTATAGATGGGCTATAAAACAACAACCAAAATCAAAGATAGTTCCAACACTGCAGCATTTGAATACTTTTAAGCAAAAGATGAATTTCCATTGTTGGGTAACTGTACACTACCTTGTGTGCGTTGAAACATGGATAAGTACGATTGCTTCTCATTGTACTGAATTATTACCAGTCAACTATCTTGTTGACCATAATTGACCTCCTTTATAATTTCATTCGAGATCTAACTGTATCAATTGCTTTATATAGCCCAAAAACTTTTAGAACTTTGAGTACAAAGTCTCTTAAGGAGACACAATTTGATGAGTGATTTTTACATGCATTATTTTCAGAAGAGTTCAAGGTTAAATATTATCATTGCACCAAGGTGCGACTTTTTGTGCATGCTGAGAAAATAATACATTTGAGAAAAAAGTGTGATAAAATAGCTAAATCAAGCTATTCTGAATAGCTTAATAAAGCTATATAGCTAAATCAAGCTACATAGCTAAATCAAGAGATTGTGCCGGACCTGTTACATATTTTAAATAATTAATATTAAAATTAATCTCTCACAATATATATAAATTTCCAAGTGTACAATAATCATAATGGTCAATTTTTTTTTCTAATTAAATTGATCACACAAAAAGTATGCTTCGCTAGTATAAACTTTATCTTGAAAGATTTATGGACATTTCGAATTTCCTCTGTAACAACAAATCAATAAATAACTTAAAGTGGTTATTTATAATGCATCCCAAAAACCTTTTTGAATGTAAAATATCTCTCTTTTTACCATTGTATCTAAATCCCAAATACAGATTTTGCAAGGTTCTTTGAAACTTAGTAATCAGACTCATTTTGCGGCGTGATTTTCACCTGGTTGTCATTTTAACATTTTGTAAGGGAACCAACCAAGTGAAATAAAGCGTGCGGTAACTATTTCGCATTTACTAGTTGTTGACAATAATGGAATATGATAAAATATTCAACTCATTTTAGGGAAATGTTAAATAAACAAAATTCCAATGAAGTTTTAAGTTTCATATAAAAGGAAAAAATCAAAATATTAGAAAATTTATTTGCTATACTTTTTATATCTTTGGTACAAGTTAACCTTTTATTTTTTAGTTGCATTGTCATTTCAACATGTCGGAAAGATACAGTTTTTCTTTGACTACTTTTAGGTAATTCGATAGTTTGTTCAAACCTTTGGTTGATATATCTAAATTTAATATTTAAACTTTTTTTAATGATGTTTACCATTGTTCTCTTAAGTAATTCAGCTGTAAAGAGGTCAAATGAAATGAGAATCTAGATCAACCAATCTACCAGTGCATGAAACTACAGCCACAGGGTATCAAGAGATTTGTATTCTCATTATATCTTAGTAATATAAAAAGCGTAAAAGAAATATTAAAAGAGTAGTGGTTTGGGCTATATGGATATCGGCCTAGATAGATCAGTGGACAGTTAACAGGCTAAAGCACGAGACTCTGTGACAAGTAATGCAGGGAATCTGATTAGGTGCAGATCTGTAGCTCATTGGCACAGGCACTTGTTTCATATATGGGGTCACCCCCTTCTTTTTCTTTCCACAAGATTCCTAACTCAATTTCAGGTTGGGGTTCTAAATGTAGGATAAAACCAAAGACTTCTGAGTTTTCCATTCAGAGGTCTTTGGTTTAATGACTTTAATCCTAAATTTATAACCCCAACTGGAAGTTTTGTATCCCGTCTAAAGTTCTAAAATGTATCGAGGTAATTTTTGAGGAATAAATGAGTGGTTTACAACAAAGAAGCTTGACCAGAGACGTCTGAAACTATTTATTTGACAAGAAAAAAGTCTCTCAAAGCGAATGATGTCATTTTAAAGTAGGCTAATAATTGATAAATTAACAAAATAGGAGCTTGAAGCGGGGGTACCTGAAATTCAGTTAAGTACCATGTGAAAAGAAAAAGAAGGGGTGACCCCATATATGAAACAAGTGCCTGTGCTCATTGGTCTGAATTTATATTCCAATCTCGAAATATTACTATCCATATGTGTTCCTAACATATTCTTTTACTACTTCAGCAACAAAACATTCCCCAAACCCATTGTTGATAGCCATCCTGGGCCTAATAGAGACCATGAAAATTTCGACTACTTATACTGCCATTTTGTGTGGCAAGACAATGCCTTCATGCCTGGCTTGTACATACAGTTTTGTTGTGGAAGTAGTATTAAGCATGTTAGAATATACTATAGTTACAGACCCTAAAACGTGCTACTACACCACTAGCACGGTTTGGTTCACTTTGTGCACGGTACGGTACGCTTCTTGCATGGAACAATTCATTTTGTGTACGGTACGGTTTGCTTTGTGCACGGTACGGTACGCTTCCTGCAAGGAATGGTTCCTTTTGTGTATGGTACAGTTCACTTTGTGCATGGTACGGTACGCTTCTTGCACGATACGGTACGCTTTTTGCACGGAACAGTTCGTTTCCTTCATGAGGTGTAGTAGCACGTTTTAGGGTCTGTACTTTTTAGAGTAGTGGTTCGAATCCACCTGGTGCCACACTTTAACTGTTTCAAAATGTGGCCTATTCAAGTACAGTTTTTTTTTTTATGCCCCGCCATGAATATGGCCGGGGCATATAGTGTTTGTCATGTCCATCTTCCATCCTTCTGTCCTTCCGTCCTTGTCCTTCTGTCTGTCCTTCCGTCACACTTTGCGTTTAGCTCTGTTCAAAGCTCAGTTTCAAAGAAACTATCCAAGATATTTTTATCAAACTTCATATGCTGATAGATACTGATGAGACCTATGCAACTGCATCAACATTTTTTGACCTTGACCTTTCATTTGACCTTGACCTCACTTTTTTTAAATTAGTGTTTAGCTTAGTTTTAAAGACACCATTTAAGGTAGTGTAATCAAACTTCATATGTTGATACAGACTGATATAAGCTATTCAACTGCATCATCATTTTTTGACCTTGACCCCACTTTTTTTAAATTAGTGTTTAGCTCAGTTTTAAAGATACCATTCAAGACAGTGTAATCAAACTTCATATGTTGATACATACTGATGTAAGCTATTCAACTGCATCAACATTTTTTGACCTTGACCATTTCTTTGACCTTGACCTCACTTTTCTTAAATTAGTGTTTAGATCAGTTTTAATAAAATCATTCAAGATATTTTTATCAAACTTCATATGCTGATGCATAATGATGAGAGCTTTTCAACTGCATCAATATTTTTTGACCTTGACCTTTCCTTTGACCTTGACCTCACTTTTCTTAAATTAGTGTTTAGCTCAGTTTTAAAGATACCATTCAATACAGTGTTATCAAACTTCATATGTTAATACATACTGATGAGAGCTATTCAACTGCATCAACATTTTTTGATCTTGACCATTCCTTTGACCTTGACCTCATTTTTAGCTCTACTGGTCAGAGACCAGAAGAGCTTATGCGATAGTAAGGTGTCCGTCGTCCTTCCGTCTGTCTAGCTGTCTGTCTGTCTGTCTGTCCGTCTGTAAACAATTTTTCAAAATACTACTCTTCCTACAGTTTTGGTCTGATTTCAATATAACTTGGCACACAAGTAGACTACACTAAGGTACATAATTCTGTGTATTGGTTTTTGATTTTGATGAAGGTGTTGCCATGGTTACTAAAAATAGAGCTTTATGGGAAGTACTTTCAAAACGCTACTCCTCCTACAGTTTTGGTCTGATTTCAATATAACTTTCTAGAAAACTCTTTCAAAACCCTACTGCTCCTACAATTTTGGTCTGATTTCAGTATAGCTTGGCACACAAGTAGACTACACTAAGATACATAATTCTTTATATCAGTTTTTGATTTCGATGAACGGTGTTGCCATTGTTACTATAAATAGAATTTTCTGTGAAACTCTTTCAAAACGCTACTCCTCCTACAGTTTTAGTCTGATTTCAATATAACTTGGCACACAAGTAGACTACACTAAGATACATAATGCTTTTTATCGGTTTTCGATTTCGATGATTGATGTTGCCATGGTTACTAAAAATAGAAATTTCCTTGAAATACTTTCAAAATGTTACTCCTCCTACAGTTTTGATCTGATTTCAGTATAACCTGGCAAACAGGTACAATACACTAAGATAAAACATTGTCTGTTGTTTTTTGATTTTGTTGATTGATGTTGCCATGGTGACTAAAATCGAAATTTCTGTAAAAATTTTTTAAAAGGCTACTCCTCCTACAGTTTTAGTCTGATTTAAATAAATAGTAATAATCCAACAATCTCAATAAAACAAAAAGAGACTACACCAAGGATCATTATTCTATGTATTGCTGTTGCTAAGTTTCAAGTCCAAGTGTTACATAGTAACATTGTTATAAGTACAAACCAGTAGAGCTACAGTCTCATCAGAGACTTCTGGTTCTTAAATTAGTGTCAAACTTCATATGCTGATACATACCGATGTAAGCTATTCAACTGCATCAATATTTTTTGACCTTGACCTTTCCTTTGACCTTGACCTCACTTTTCTCAATTTGTGTTTAACTCAGTTTTAAAGAAAACATTCATAATATTTTTATCAAACTTCATATGCTAATACATACTGTTGTAACCTTTTCAACTGCATCAACATTTTTTTGACCATGACCTTTCCTTTGACCTTAACTTTATTTATTTTAAATTAGTGTTTATCTCAGTTTTGAATAAATCATTCAAAATATTTTTATCAAACTTAAATATGCTGATACGTATTTGTGAGAAGTATTCAACTGCATCAAAAACATTTGACCTTGAACTTTCTTGTGACCTTGACCTCACTTTTCTTAGATTTGCATTTTGCTTAATTTTAAAGAAACCATTTAAGATATATTTATGTAAGTTTATGCACTTATACATAATTTGGCGAGAATTTATCATCTATATCCAACTTTTTAGATTTCAATTTCAATTTTAAAGAAACTATTCAAGATTTCATACACTAAAACAAATTTTCATGTTGCATTACAAATATACCCTCGGCAGGACATTCATGTCCTATGGACATATTTCTAGTTTTATATGAGGTATTGTATTTTCCTTCAGTTGTTCATTTACATGTAATGCATGTTCATTAGACAATAAAGAGAAAAGATCATAAATCCCCTGTTACTAAAATGCAGTCATGTGGAAGTATACCTCAGTGCAACACCCTCTTTGAGGACAAAAATTATTCACTCTGTGTTACTCAGTACAATAATGTACTTTGAGTTGTGATAGATTTCTATTGTATATACTTTTTGTTAATTCGATTCCTTAAAAATAAATCAATGCAGTGTATATGATTTTATTTTCTGTACTACTAGTACTTTTTTGGGTTCTTGAGCTGAAACATGTAGTGCTTGTTTTATTTGAACTAAATATATTTATAAGTCAATGGTCTTAATTCAGATCCCTTCAAGGTTTTTAAACAGTAGGACTACTTGTCAATTACTGCACTCTGTTGGGTTTTAATTAAATAATTTGTATACATCAACATGATCAATGGCTTGTTTTTATTATCATGAAGAGAATTGAGATGTTATCATTACAATGAAAAAAAGAAAAGTATCAAATTATAATAACATTTTCAGATAACAAACTCTAAATGTGTTGCCAATATCATGCTACATAGTGTCTATGAAAAGGTACCTTCTATCTCTATACATACTGCATACATGGAAATAGAAAGATTTATCTTACTTCATGTATGTAGCCTAAGTTCATTGACTGGAATGAAACTTGTTAAGCTTTTTGCAAGGACTAAACCAATCTTGACCCTATAGGTCATTGCTATATATTTATAGTGAATCAGGAGAGATTATCAAATACATTTGGTTATGTTTTTATTTCAGTCCCTCTGGGAAGCTTGTACAGATAGAGTATGCCTTGGCAGCAGTAGGTGCTGGTGCTCCTTCTGTGGGTATAAAAGGTATGTTGTCTTGTAAAGGAGATGGTGCTGTGTGTGCTTATAAGAAATTCTAGTGAACATAACTTACATGTCTTAGGAGAGTTAATGATCAGAAAAGGAAATTCAAATATCTCGCAGTTGTTTCTGAATATGATAAATCACTTGTAAGCATGAACCATAGTGTGGTGGCAATGTTCTGAAAAAAGTAGGTGAGCATTGTGGCCCATGGGCCTCTTGTTTGCATCACGAATGGACACTGTACACACTCAGGCTTTTCTGCATTGGTTATTAAATCAATATGCTCTTTTTTTGTCTGATGAAATCATTTGTATGTGAATTACTGAAATAGCATTTGTACCAGGTGTGATAAAACCACAATAAATGAATAATAATGATCTTCTTTCCATTTTCTTTTAGCCTCAAATGGAGTTGTTTTAGCAACAGAGAAGAAGCAGAAATCTATATTATATGACGAAAACAGTATCCACAAGATTGAAATGATTACCAAGAATGTGGGCATGGTCTACAGTGGAATGGGCCCTGACTACAGGTGAAATGTGTGCTGTTTTTGATAGCTAGTCATGGTAACAACAATAGTAATGAATACAGTACCTACAGGTCTGTAGCTCACTGGTCTGACAAAAATTCAGATGGATGACCAGAAAGCTATAGATCCATGCATTCAAAAAAATTGTACATGATATTGTGGACAAAAAAGTGTGCACAGTTCAAGAGTTATATCTCCGTATTTTTAAGCTGCCATCTCAAATGTTACTAACTGTGTGTTCTTAATTATTCTTTACTATTCTATGACAGAACATCCCCACAACTGTTGTTAATAGCTCTTCAGGGCCTGAAGTTGAGACTATTGGAAAATTTGTCTGCTACCATTTATAAACAGTTAATTTTGCACATGTTATTAACCAAAAAAAATTTAGAAAATGAGAGTGGTGATTGAGTTGACATTCCAAGAGCCAGCATGAAAAGTAAATGAAAAGTAAATCAGCATAAAATGATCAGTAAAGCAGAAATATTCTTTCAACTATGAGGACAATATTCAAAATTCTGTTTATAAAACATAGTACTTCAATATGTACTTTACCAGTAATTGTACAAACATAAAGTAGTAGATATAGCAATTGATGTAGTAATTCAGCAAAAAAAGAAAAAAAAAGATTATTTTGTCAGGTTTACATATGAGAGCAAATTTATGAGATTATTTTTTCCTCTTTCCCTTAGAGTACTCTTGCGGAATGCAAGAAAGCTAGCCCAGAACTATTACTTAGCCTACCAAGAGAATATACCCACAGCCCAGATAGTGCACAGAATAGCCAACGTCATGCAGGAATACACACAGTCAGGGTATGTTAAAAAAGCAACAACACAAAAATGATATATAAATGGAATACCTTACTTGCCATGCATAACTTCATATAATGTCTGTTGTCAATGACAATTTTATGAAATGGGATGAAGAGAAAGGGACTGTATTTATCAGCAATTTGATCATTGTACCTATACACACATTTAAATTTCTTGATTTTTCTCTGAATGTACATTTCCATTATAATAACACTAACAATGTTTAACCACTGAGAATAGCTGAAAATTTTTTTTATAGGACTGAAGTCAAAGATGAGTCTATTCATATTTGAATTTAAGTTTGGAATATCTATGGTATATATGACTTGCTATGAAGTTATAAATGTTTCATTGATTTTATCAGAGGTGTGCGTCCCTTTGGGGTGTCCCTGTTGATTGCTGGCTGGGATGAGGATGAGGAGAGGCCATACTTGTACCAGTGTGACCCCAGTGTAAGTCCTTAATTAGTAAATGGCTGATAATTCATTGAGGTGTGAGATGTATGCAACCTAAAACAGAGAAATTGTATGATGCCTCATATATTGATTATTATCCTCAAAGATCACCTATTATATAATGTTCTCGATTAGAAAATCTATATAGTAAATGTTTTAAATTTGCAAAATGTGGCAATAATTTTTTTTATTCTCCTCAGGGAGCATATTTTGCTTGGAAAGCAACAGCAATGGGAAAGAACTATGTTAATGGAAAAACATTTTTAGAGAAAAGGTAATGTTACATATTTAAAATGCATCTAGAAGGACTGAAATTTGCATGATTATGATAAGCATTTAGCTGTCTACCAAAATTATGAAACTCATGACCCCCACCCTTCTCCATTTTATCATTCACTTAAGACCAGGATTAAGGCCCAGGGTTGGGCTAAGGTGGACATACATTATCATGAATATTAAAAAAATTATCTATGACATTTTTGGATATTTTAACTCATGGATAACTAACAAGCAAACTAAGAGCATTACAGTGTATCATAATGAGAAACTAGCCATCTATCAAGATTTTAAATTCCTGTCCCCCAGGTCAAGAATTCAGGCCCCAGGGTGGTGCTCAATAGGTCATACCTTGAAAATTCATTATTCAGTGTACCTTTCAAAATCTTATTTATTCCTGGACATTTAACAAGCAAGCAGTATGTGTGATGGCAGTTAACTATTTTCCCTTTACCAGATTTCTGAAATGTATGTTCCCAGAGCTGAGACTCAGGGATGGGGCTAATTTGAATAAATATTAATTAAAATGCATATTGTCTATTGGTATAAATCGTTTCTACTCCTAAGCTGCTTGAATATGATTGTGAGCAAAAAAAGTCCTCAGACACCAGATTGTAAAATTCATGTCACATGAGTCCCGAGTTCTAGTCCCAGGTGAGACTGAGCTGGTCATATCCAAAGACACTTGTGATACTCAGGTAACTGTCAAAGCCCGTGGGGGATTATGTTTCTTGAACTATGTGTGTCTTTTGATTTCATGAAGATTGTCCCTTTATTTATTGTAAAGGGGGAGGGGGGTTACAATAGTGTTATACAGTTAAAGTAGAAAACATCATTTGCTTCCCCTATGTCCTGTGACATGTTTTATAAAGAACATGATGGACTTACTGTTTGCCCTTGCAAAGTACAATATTGTATCCATCTTCATTCAGTTCATATTCAAAAACACTAAGTTTTTCAGCTCATGTACATATATACAGAGTAAATGGTACAAGGAATTCAATATTTTTGTTGTTTACAGGTACAGTGATAACCTAGAATTAGAAGATGCTGTCCACACAGCCATTTTGACCTTGAAAGAAAGTTTTGAAGGTCAAATGACAGAAGACAACATAGAAATTGGAATTTGTAATAAAGATGGATTCCGACGTTTAACTCCCCCAGAGGTTAAGGATTACCTAGCCTCTGTACAGTGACATTTTCATCCTCATCATGTTTTATAGTGCTACTCATTAAATGTTGCAGAACAATAACATTAAAATCTTTTGTATAAAACCAACTGTTTACTTTTTTCACACTGTTTAGTGGAATTTGTGAATTATTAATACAAAATTCACATGATGCATTCTGAATCTATTAAAGAAAGTGACCGTTCTGAAACTATACTGTCCAGTTTTATTGTCTGCCATTCCTAGCCTCTATGTACATCTGCAGGATGATTTAATGTTCTGGCTACACTGTACTACCAGACATGACAAGCTCATTAGTTCCCTTATTTAAAGATTGTCTATCTGTAGTCTGTTGTCTTTTAACTTTCCAAATATTTTGGGGGGTTTTAGCTCTTTTGAGCCAAAGGCTCAAAGAGCTAATGCTATGGCCATTTGTGTGGTGTGCGTAAACTTTTTAGAATATGGGCCATATCTCAAGAACCCCTTGGCCAATTTTTGTCAAATTTGTCACAGAGTATCCTTGGCCCAAGGGCTCTCGTTTATACTTAAACTAAGGATGTGGCCCTTAAACAAAGAGAGATAATTAGGAAAATAAAAACAAAAGTACTGGTTGCTAAAAAATCTTTTCCTCAAGAACCACTGGGTATATTGTCGCCAAACTTGCATACAAGGGTGAGAATATGTTGTATATTGAAAATTGTTCAAGGCATCACCCTGAGACAAAATGCCTGGTCTCAAGGTCACTTCAAAGTTGACAAAAAATTATATTTTGTTAAATCTTTGATATTTTGCTTACTATAGGGACTAGGATCATCAAATCTTGTCAGTTGATGCATCTTAGGACCTCATATCATGTTGACTCAAAGAAGGTCACAGTGACCTACTTTTTGATTTGCAGGCATTCATTTTCAAATTGTTTAGGTGGCATATTTTGGACACTTTAAGACCTATGATCATCAAACTTTGTCAGTTGATGCATCCTGGGTCCTTGGAGTATGTCAACTGAAAAGTGGGTCACTGTGACCTACTTTTTGAATTATATGGCTCATCTTTTTTTTTCAAATATTTAAGTTCATTATTTCAGATACTGAGAGGTTTAGAATCATCAAACCCAGTAAGTTGATGCATCTTGGGGCCTTTAAACATATTTTTGAAAAAGTAGGTCACAGTGACCTACTTTTTGAATTTTGCAGGCATTCATTTTCCAATTGCTTAAGAGACATATTTTGGACACTTTAAGGCCTATGATCATCAAACTTTGTCAGTTGATGCATCTTGGGTCCTTGGAGTATGTTAACTGAAAAGTAGGTCACTGTGACTTACTTTTGAAATTTTATGACTATAATTATATATTTCAGGTACTAATTATAATTGGCTTAGAATTATCAAACTTTGTCAGTTGATGCATCTTGGGTCCTCAGAGTACATCAACTGAAAGTAGGTCAAAGTGACCTATTTTTGAAATTTTATGACTATAATTAAATATTTCAGGTACTAATTGGCTTAGAATTATAAAACTTTGTCAGTTGATGCATCTTGGGTCCTAGGAGTATGTCAACTGAAAAGTAGGTCACAGTGACCTACTTTTGAAATTTTATGGCTATATTTAAATATTTCGGGTACAGATTGGCTTAAAATCATAAAACTTAGTCAGTTGATGTATTTTGAGTCCTCAGAATGTGTCCACTTAAAAGTAGGTCACATGACCTACTTTCAGAATTTCAAGGCAATATCTAACTTTTTTCAAATAATAAGACTTAAAATCATCAGACTTTGTCAGTTGAGATATTTAGGGGTCTCGGAGTATGTTTACCAAAAAGTAGGTCACCATGACCTACTTCTGGAATCTTGTGGCTATATCTGAATATTTAAGATAATTTTTTACCAACACAACGACCTGATATTTTGGAAAAAAGTCTGAAAAGCAACAAATAAAAAAAGTGGCTAAAGTACCCACACAATCCACACCAAGTATACCTCTTCACTATTCTATATCTGAATATGCTCAATTCATCAAAATAGACAAATAGATAATCACTAGAAGTATATTAGTTTTTACCATTTAATTTAAATCCTAATAAATATTAAATAAATACATGCCGTACTTTCCACACTTAGATGTGTAACAATTTCATACAATGAAACAATTTATTTCAATTCATATTTAACATACCTAACAAAAACAAATCTACTTTCTTTCCCATTCACCAGTTTAAAGAACTTGTGTATGTTATCATAAAAAAGGAATCAATTTATCTTTCCTAAAATTCAATCATTAATAAATCATGTATTGCAAGTCTACCCACACATCACATTGTGACCATTTTTTAAATTCACAAAACAGATTAACAAAAATTTTCAATCAGCCAGTTGTTCCCAGCACACAATAGTTCATTAAAATTGCTTCCAAACTTGACAGTAAAATATATGTATATTTGATTCACAACAAGTAAAATCATTCATAAAGAATATGATTTTGCATACAAAAAGTGTGAAAATAAATGAACTTGGAGAATTAGCAGTTTATAATACTCTGCTTTTCATAAATATTCTCCAAGATTTTAAAATATTCACAATTTTATGTAAAGGTCTAAGCACCAAATGTTCAGTAAAATGCACCAACAGCCAATATTAACACAAGAGGTCCATGGGCCACATCGCTCACCTGAGCATTTGGCTAGGAGTTCAGTATTTTATAAGTGGTTTTAACCTACCCCTAATGGAAGGGGGGATGTATTGAACAAACTAGAATCTACACTTACTGAGGATGCTTCCATATAAATATGTTTAATCATAGCTCTGCTGTTCTTGAGAAGAAGATTTTTAAAGATTTTCACTATGTATTCCTATGTAAAACTTTGATCGTCCATTGTCCATTGTGGCCCCGCCCCCTACCCCAAGGGGTGATGGTTTGAACAAACTTGAATCTACACTACCTGAGGATGTTTCCGTATAAGTTTCATCTTTCCTGGCCCAGTGGTTCTGGATAAGAAGATTTTTAAAGATTTTTCCTATGTATTCCTATGTAAAAATTGATCATCCACTGTGGCCCCGTCCTACCCCCAGGGGTCATGATTTGAATAAACTTGAATCAACACTAACTTCAGATGTTTCCATATCAACTTTCCTGGCCCAGTGGTTCTTGAGAAGAAGATTTTTAAAACAACCCACACATAAATTTTCATTATTTCTTAGTTATTTCCCCTTGAAAGAGGGTGTGGACCTTTATTTGAAGAAAGTTGAATCCCCTTCACCCAAGGATGCTTTGTGGCAAGTTTGATCAAAATTGGCCAAGTGGTTCTGGAGAAGAAGATGAAATCGTGAAAAGTTAATGACGACGACAACAATGCCAACGACAACAGACAACGGACAAATTTTGATCAGAAAAGCTCACTTGAGCCTTCGGCTCAGGTGAGCTAAAAGAACAATGTTTTCCAAACAAAATTGTGTGTATTCCTGCATATAATAGTTTTGCTGTAATTTTGATGTACATGTACTTAACTTGTAATTGGTA